GAAAGGAGCAACAGTTCCTGTTGGCCGTGGTATACAGCGTGGACACGAAGCAGATAGCCAGCGAGTGCAGACGTTTTGTACCTAAGTAAAAATAGGCTCCGCTGGGGCGGTTTGCCGTTGAGCTTCGTAAAACTCCTCGAGAAGTTGACTGCTCGTCCGAAACGCAACGCCGATGTTGTGCAGCTTGCCAAACGGTCCAAACTTGCGGTACTTGTCCAATTCCACCGCATTAATCGTTTCGGGTTCTGGGTACTGAGCCTGGCTGTCTTCGGTATCAACTTCTACCTCCAAGAGCGGGTTTCCTTGTTCGGCTCGCTAAAGTCATCGTCCATCGCGAGCTCATCGATGGCTTCGGACACGAGTCGTTGCTCATCCTCTTCACTCATAAAATCTTTATCCCCCCAGTGAGCCAGAAGCTCGTCAAAATTGTCTTTTTTTTGCTACCGTACATCATGGCATGGACTGCCAGATTCAGAACATGGGGAGCACAGCGAATCTGACGCTCCTCCCAGTCGAAGCCAAACTCTGCACCAAGCGCTTCCATAGCTGTATCATTATTAGCGGCATTGTCAAGCGTACAGTACCCAATACTATTTCGAAGAATCAGTTGCGCAAGACACAGAATTTGGCAGGCAAGCATTGCTGCATCTAATTTAAAACGCCAACAAGATTCTCGAACTCGGAGCATCGACCTAGAGGTGAGTGCTAGGGAGAGCGCCGGAGAAGCAGCCGCAACACTGGTAACTATCTCAACTCACTAGCTTGCTAAGCCTCCTTCTCATCAAATCCATATCATCAGCCTCCTCCCATAGCACCTTCTTCAATTTGTCGACAGCAACCCGCTTCGCCGTATCCGTCTCCGGCATGCTTCCAATCGCGCTCTCCGTCTCCTGGATCTTTCGTTTTACATCCCTAACAACATTCCAGAATGCGACTGTCTTGTTCTCATAGCCACTTTCTTCTACACTGACTTCCCACTCCTGACCGCCTTCTCCCTCAACAATGTCTAGCCATCGAGCCATGTGCTCCCACTTCTCAGTATATGTCATCCCCGGGAGATGCACCAGGAGATTCCCCTTATCTCCTTCGAATCCATGGCCGAACTGATATGCATTGAACAAAATCCTTGGCATGTAGATTCCATGCCGCTTATATCCCGTGCCATCAAATCCGCCCTCCTCCTTGGCGAGGACATTTTCCATGCTTGTCTGGTCGGCCGACCAGCCAAGGTCGATTTCTGGGTGGAAAAGCGGATTCCCGGCCGTTTCTAAAAGCATGTTGACCGTCCAGGGATGCACACGCAAGAAAATTATTCCATTGTTAAGCCCATTGTGGTCCCTTGAGGCGATAAAGTGGATGTCACTAATATCGGTTGGTGGAAGGAAGATAGTAGGGGGTATAGCCGGGTTAAGGATGATTGAGTCTGCATCTACCCACCTATATCTCAATAAGTATCACGGGACATATTAATAGGAGTGTGACATACATAAGCCAATGTAGTCTTTGTTCTACTGGCTTAGCCAGCTCCTGCAGGACAATAGAGAGAAGGTAGCTTGGCTTACTCCAGCTACCAGCCGATATCTCTTGCCGTAAAATATGCATTTGATGGTTCCAGCGATCACAGTGTCGCCGGTGACTTTGGAGCGCTCGTTCACAGATCGGATCTTCTCGACCGTAAAGCATAGATACTTTAGCCAGTGAGGGTGTCTGTATTGGTATTTGTGTAGATTGCTTGGTAATTTCTGGTGAGTTGCCCGGGGGTGTTTCTGTCTGTGAATAGTCCAGTGATGGATAGAAACCGATGTTCCAAGTCAAAATCAAAGCGACTATGACAAGGAAGCTGATGCCGAATCTGCGTCTGGTGCGCCCCAAGTACGCGAGAAGCATGTCCAAAAGCTGCCTGTTGACGAGAACAATGCTCTTATTGTGGGACATGGTTCCTGGCCCCGAAGGGGAAAAAAGCCACATATGGACCAGATAGAGAGTTGAACTGGACGACGCCGAGTCGACACTTTGTGCTAGAAGGAAAATAAGCGCTGTGGTGGTTATGAAATGTTGATGTGTTGGTGGCGACACCATGAGTGTGGGTCGGGCTTACAAAGAGTGCTTGTGCAGCTCGGTTGCGGGGTTGAATTGGGGAGGCAGAAGGGCACAACAGGTGTAATGCTGTTCCTTATCATTCTATATGGGCAATAATAACATAAGGGAAATAGCGGCTCTTATGGGCATTTTCCACTAAATTAGATGTCTCTTATCCCCTAGTCGACGGGAGACCCGGTAATGGGGGGGGGGGGCGCCAGTTGGATAAGAGAGAGGGTCCTGGTGGTGCCTCCACCCAGTTGAAAAATTAGTGTCGTAGTCGTGACTGCAGTAATCATTTATTCATTCGATTTACTGTACAGGGTAGTTCACGTTCAGCGTTCTACTAATTTGGATGAAAAATAACCAAGTTAGGTTATGTGGGCCGCTACATTGGGAAGTTTTGTCCACATAGAATGTGGACGCTAAACCTGGACGATCCTGTACAGTCGGGTTCAGGTTCAGCGTCCACATGGATCCATAAAACGATGTTGTGGTGGCAGCCAAAATCGGCCTAAACATGACTGAATCTGATTTTTTATTTGGCCCAGAGAGTGGACGCTAAACCTGTTTCCTGACTGTAACAGTCGAAATGAGGTACCCGTCTACAATGTGACTTAGCCTGACCCCGTCAACAACAGGCCTTGGATGACGACAGGCTCGCCCTCCATGCACGAGCTTTTGTGGGTTGCTATTGACTTTATTCCGTGCCAAGCATCTAATTATAGTCGCTTCGGCGACTCTGTCTCTTTTCGAGACGTAATGGAGAGTATGTATAGCTCACAGGGTTGACGTCTCTTCCATGGAACACTAAGTATCGTGCAGCACAGTACAGTATGGTACGGTACATACGCATTGCTAGGTACGGAGCGCCAAATGGCGCGCAAAGCACAAAAGTGCGCGGGACAAAAGAACATTCCGTGACACACGAAGGCCGCGCATATCAAGGGGCGGGTGAAGCATGCCACCTCCTCGTGGCGAGCTTCGCGCTTGAGAGGAACACCACGTTGCCCGCGGGGCTAACCCGCAATATCAAGAGCACAATGTACGACATCGTTCGCCTATTCCGCGACGACCGCTTTTGGCTTGCTTCGTTTTGCGATTTTTCCATACATCTCACAGAGCACAGACTCGTGCAGCCGGAGGTACGTCTGGAGTTCCTCCAGACTGTTGCTATGTATCTTGAACGGGCCGCACCGTATTGTAGAGGGGAGGAGAGGGGCGGTTTTGCCCGGCCCTTCTACATACGAGGCCCGCGTGCCTTGTTGTGGCTGCGCTGGGGCGGTCAGTGAATACATGGTCGATGAGTCGTATCCCTGGATGCTCTTGCATGAGCTCACGCACAAACATTATGGCATCTCTTTGCGCCCATCCGAGATGCGCCGCCTGCAGAGGAGCATGCTGCGCTGGAGGAGCCGGCATACGGGCCGAGGTTTTGAGCTGGAGGAAGGGATTTTCCAGGCAGCGGAGATTCAACAATTCATCAATAGAACATGGTGTTGATGTGCTCTCTTCTTTCCAGCGCGCCTTTTCAGACGCGTGCCAAACTCTATCTTCTGTCTATTGTTGCGCTTCCTATTTTGGGTAATGACCCTCGACTGAATACCCTGAATGACTAGTATTAAAAACTACAATGAGTCAGTCATTACCGGTATTAATACATACAGTACTATACTACTGTATGCCAGGTACATATTATATGTACAGTACCGTATTATACACATCCATGAGCAATGAGTTGCTTTCGAGGGCATCGGAAGGAGGCACGCCTCATTATGGCGTGGTACACTCGCTCCCCGCGGAAGCGTGAAAATCTGGTGACCTATGTGCGGCCCCCTCGTAAACGCCTATTTCTGTTGAGGCTGAAGGACAGGGTGGAGAAAGCAGCTGTTGGACGATCAGCAAAGAACACGGACAAGGATGACGAAATGATGGGAGACAGCCAAAATGGTTCATTAAGAAGTTAGTGAGCCCTATTGGTTGGAAGTCACCGGGCGTAATAAACAATGAATGAATGAAGGACAGGAGGGGCGTTCTTTCGAGGAGGGGCGTTCTTTCGAGGAGGGGCGTTTGTTCACGGGGCCGTTCAAGGAGGGACGTTCGTTCAAGGGGCGGCGCCTTTCCAGCAAGACGTCTATGGCGTATAAAACCCGACAACCGACAACGGCTCCCACTTATTCGGCAAAGCATATGATTCTCAAACGTAGGTTCCTTGGTACTTCGCTGTTGCCGAACGGTCATTCCTTTCTCTCCATATCTCCTCATCCCATTATAAACCTTTGATTCAGGTTCTGCTGACTCTATGGACACTGCATCCTATTCGACCAACGCCAACGCGTACTCGAGCTTTCCAGCCCCTCAAGACCGTCTGAGCTCCCAAGAACCGCCCCCTGGCCAAAACCAGCCACCCGAGAACTGCGGCCAGAGCTACATGACAAGCTTTTGGCCAGAATCTTGCCAATTGCCACATACTAACTGGGTTTCCAACTCAGCAGCCACAGACCACGGACTATGGCCAAAAATTCGCGGCGGGTTATGCTCCGGGCGCTGCCTCGTTGACAGTGGCCTCTCATGGAGATTTCCAGTCACTAGAGAGGAAGCTCGAACAGGGGCTTGACAACAACTTGCATCAAGTGTCCGAATGTCTTTCTCAGGCAACCGAGCATTACCGAAACTTGGAAGCGTCCCTGTCCTATTTTCTTCACGACATCGTCGTCAAGACCAGGACGGCTGTCAAGCTTGGCCTCGACAGCAACGAGAGAACTCTCAAAGACTGTTTAGATGCAAAAAAGTTCGTTTTTGAGCCTGGTTGCGAAAAACGCGTGCACTTCATGGAAAAGCAGCTTGCCGGCCTGAAAGATGGTCACCACGCGCTGTTGCGGACAATGGAGCAGGTATCGGGCAGAGTAGCAGCAGCACAAGAAGCCATGCAGAGGATGGAGCAAAAAACAGACACAATGTCCGGAGCTGTCATGGAGACCCTCAGTGAGCTGCAGGCCTCCATGGCGACAAAGGCCAACCTGCTCCGCAGTAGAGACATCGTTTTGGAGCGGCAACAGACGCTCCGTGAAGACGTGGCCAACCTCACTGTCGACATTTTGCAGAGCCTGACTACGCTTCGGGAGAGTGCTGCGACCATGCACAGCTTGGCACAGAACAACACAGGCCGTAGCGGAGACAACCGTCAGACTTTGGACCATTTACGCGCCTGTGTGGTGACCAAGGACGACCTGATCAAGTATGTGGGCGAGATTTTCGAGAAGCAGCGAACAATCTACGGCAAGCGGGACGCAGACACGACACGCTTCAGAGCCGACGTCTCACAGAGCCTTGCCATGCTGAAGGACAGTGTGGTCACCATGCACAGCTTGGCGCAGAACAATGCATACAGCAGCGAGGCCACGCTTCAGACCCTGCAAAAGCTAGAGGGTTGCATGAAGGGCAAAGAAGTCATCCCGGAAGCCTTGCAGATGATTCACGACAGTGTGCTCGCCATGCAAGGCCTGACGCGGACCAACGCAAACGCCAACGAGGCTGGTATACAGAGGCTGGAGAGAATGGTGGCTGGGGTGGAGCGAGGGTCGGGCTACACGAATGAAATACTCAAAGAGTTCATGAGTGAAGTAAAAAATGCTTTGGATAACATAGCGTCTCTGGTTGGCACTTTCTCCAGTCGGGTCAACATCGTCGGCCCGACTACGATGACAAGATCAATGACCAGGAAGCGCCCGAGGAACTCGCGATAAATTCGGTCCCTATCAGTAGTTTTGCTTCATCGATGTCTAGTCGTATAGATAGTGTCCATCTCACAACATTCTTTCTATCCGTACTAAGACTGCTTCTACGTGACATAAGGTTCTCCCTGTATCTGACGGCCTGAGCTAGATCCTCGCGCTGCATGTAGAGCGATCATCGAGGGGAAGCCGAAAGCTGACGGAGAAGGCCGGTGAGTGGAGCCTGTCTGAGAAGCCCTCCACGTCCGGAGCGGAAGGGCATGGCGATGCAAACATTTGCAAAATTGCAGCCCATCTAATCCTTGTTTGGGGGCTTGCATATACAGGGGGATCTTTTCCCCATCCGCTCTTCACTACTGCTGTTTAGGCCGGAGATCCACGCCGAAGCGGTGCTGCGTTGAGAGCGGCTAGTCAAACCGGAAACACACATGACAGGGACTTTGTCCGTGGCTACAAAAGCCTGGCTCTCCGCCCATGGAATCTTCCCGTCAGCTCCTCCTCAGACCGTTTGCCTCCCCGCATAGATTCTCGTCTGACTTTTTAGCCTCATGCTCTACTGCCCCCTTCCTACCCGTCTCCTCTTCTTAAGCCCGGTATCCATATTGACTTCTCTATTTCAAGACCCCAAGATGTACCCTGGCCCCGCCCAAGAGAAACAGACAATGGTGATACTGCTTACCGGAGTGTGTTCACGCCCCCCTTACGAACACACATCCAAGCTAATGTACCTGGCTAGAACCCAAGCAGCGCAATCAACGCCTTCATGTCTACTCAGGCCCAGGTCCCCGCCTCAGGGTACCAAGGCTACCAGGGACACCAGGCCCCATATACGGCCTCTCCACTACAATCTCACGCGGGACAGTACGCTCCGTCGGCATCCCACCAAACTATGCATCTTCAACCACCGCTCATGACCTCTTACATGACGAGGCAAGAGGCAGCCGGGGTCTCAGCAAGCAATGCCTTCCCCAGGGGTCGTCGCTAATGAACCCGTACATGCCACAGCAGGTGCAACCGGTGTTCTCGTCGCAACAGATACAGCAGCGTGTGGTGTGTCAGCAGCAACAGCAGCAACAGCAACTACAGCAACTACAGCAGCAACAGCAGCAACAGCAGCAGCTTGTGGCAAAAAGCTCAGTGATTTGTCATCCGGCTGCGAGTCAATTATCTCAAGGATACTCGGCTCCCCATAACACGGCATCTCCCGGAGAGGATCCGGCGTTGAATTCCACCAAGACTCCTAGCGAGAATGGTGACTACAGGTTAGTTTGAAGGACGAGAACTCTTGCCAATCACATGCAAAAGCTAAGCAGATGGCGCACAAGTTGGTGAAGGGGATAACATGGATTTGTCAAATGATCGCGATTGTCTTTGTGGAGCAATAGGACATGCTAGCTATGAGATTGAAAATCTACCTAGAACAAAACACAGGGTCTGTACGTGTGGTCCTTTTGACATGAGTGTCGGTCATTTCTGTGTCTCTTGTCTTATTACTTGCCTCTTTTGAAATACATAATGCGGGAAGGCAGCGTTCACTATCTCACAATCTCGAAGCGTATATCGACAGCCACCTCTGTGCCCACTTTGACAACCTGCCAAGGATTTCTTGACTGCCTGATCGTGGTCTTCTTGTACAGCAGAAAAGAGGTAAGCAACGAGTGAAGTCTCGGCAGAGACGATGTTTGCGACCAGTGGCAACTTAGATAGTACCGGTTCCCTCCGCTTAAACATAGAGTCTCATTTACTATCTTGAAGTTGATATCAATATGCCCATTTAGGCAAGCTAGGGGCGATAGGGCGTTAAGAGCCATGTAGGAAAAGTCTAAGCCGGCCGCGCCGTTAGGGTCCCATACAGATTTGGAACCCGTGGGCGCAGCGCTCGCAGCCGTCGCCAATGAAGAAGGGCCTATCGGAGGCCACACCATTGACCGTGACATTGACCCTTTTGCCACAATATTTCGCGCGACCCTCTTGTATCTTTAGTGCGAGACTGTTTATGGCCACGAGGTTATTGGACTTGATGTCGTTGAGCGACAGGACCGAGTTCCAGTTGCACATAACGCCTCCCTGGTTTTGGAGGCTAAAATCTGTGCCACAGGCCCGGCGTTGTTGGACGTCAAAGTAGTAGGTGCCGAAGCCTTTCCCTCGAAGGATGACATTCTAAGCAAACACACTGGCGGCTAGAGTCGCAGTCCCAATGACAGCAGTGATTACTTGCATCTCGCGAATTAGTATTAATAGAAGAGAATCAATCTTCTAGGTACTGTACTGGAACAACCTCAGGGCAGACAATATGTTCACTCTTTTCTCTATATTTATCTCCTCTAGTCTACAATACAGCCCAAGGGCAGATACATACAGTGACATATTTGCTCGTTTCGTTTTCATTGTCTCCTCCAGTCGTGCTCAGATCCAGGTCCCTGTAGTGGCAGGGTAAGCCACAGATTGTTTTTACCGGTACCTAGGTATTAATACCGGTATTTTACACTACAGGCTCAGGCCTGTCTCAGTATGAGATGGCCACTAACCCAAGATTGGCTGTTGAGAAGTTTGCGGACGCTAGACTCGACATACATGTAGTATTTCTATAACAGTACTGTACAGTACATACTGTATTTATACCTACTGTATTAATACAGTATTCATTCATTCATTGTTTTATTACGCCCGGTGGCTTCCCGCCAATAGGGCTCACTAGTTATGTCTAAGTAACTGTTTGACTATTCGCCTCATCCATTCCACTTATTCCTGTCGTTCTCCGATCGCTTCCACCTCGTCTTTCCATCCCAGCAGCTCCCGTTCCATGTTGTTTACTACTGATGACTGACTATCTTGAGGGCTATTCCTCAAGTGTTCGGAGTCCTATCTGCAGCGACCGAAGCGTCGCTGGTCATGTTGTCGTGGATGTGGCCGCACGGTATGATGAAAAGCCTGTTCTAGTTCTTGGCTTGTCAATTGTCGAATCTTCCTGTGGCGAGTGTATATTGTATCGTTGCTCGGATTGCCCCCATGTTTGGTTTCCATTTCGGTCCGTCTGATGCCGACTTTCCTCCTAGTCGGTGTGACAAGTCATCCCATCTCGTGCTCATGCATGCTCGTAACTCTTTTCGCTGTTCATCCCATTGCGGGCACTCTAAAAGAAAATGTTTGACCGTTTCTCTTGCCTGCCCGCACGTACATTGCTCCGAGGGCACTGCTTTGATGCGATGGAGATACCCGTTCAATCTTGCCATGTCTGTCCTTAATTGTGCGAGTGTAGAACGCTCCCTCCATGACCACTCGTCATAGATCTCACGCGTGTGGCTCCCGGGCAACTCCACATCTATTTTCTTGGAGAATCGTCCTACCCCCTCGGGTATACATCGTTCACCTCTGAGTTTACTTTGTTCGTTGTTCAAAGTCGTGGTCTTCATCACTGGGAATGAAGCCTCCGGTATCGCGCCTTGTCGCGTGGCCGTTTTTGCTTGTCTTTTGGCCGCTTGCAACATCTTTTTACAGTTCTGCCCACAACTAGTGCCGCAAGGAGGCGACACAGTGCGCTGATATAGAAACGAAATACCTCCGCTGATGTACTGATTAGATTCGCAGAAACAGGTTTGTCTTTCGCATGAATCGCCAGCAACATTCGGCAATGTCTTCTCTCGTTAGTCAAGTAATCAGAAGACTATGTCACCTAGAAAAAACTGAAGTCCGTCTTGCAGCTTTGCAGCTGTATATCTGGGTATGTGCCTTCGAGAAGCCTGGACTCTACTGTCACATGGGCGGCTCCGTCTCCAAATTGTCCGCGCTTGTATCCATTGAATATTCTCATAAGCTAAAGCTGAAGAGGAAGAGGGGTCCGAGCCAGGGCTTAAGCAGAGCAGCGCACACCGATACCTGTGTTGGCGATAGACCCGCCAGAGACAGCGCAGGCCAACCTCTGCTATTTGAAGCGTCTGCTCTCCCGTTACCCGTTCAAAGTAAAACCCGTGTTCTTTCTCTTTTACTTGCTGCTCGCTTTCAATCTCACAGAACTTGCACATTCTCTTCGCATACTTGGCCTTCTACTGTGAGCTTTGGCAGCCCTACGACCCAACGCCACCATGAAGACCGCAGCCCACATCATGGCCCTGGCTACAAGTGCCTATGCCTGGACCTACCCCAACTGCGAACACGATGACTGCTACCGCAACCTGGTTGACACTCGTTATATCGGACAGGGTCCCGCCTTCAGCATTGGTTGGATCTCTGGTACCGCCATGAATGCTAGTGCTATTCCCGCGCAGTCCCGCAATTGCCCGGGTGTTGCCCCTTTGTCCTCTGCCTGCTGGTGCATCTCATAGCTATTTTTCTTTTACTGTCGCGGTTTCTCGTGAATGGTCGTTTTCGGAGCGGGCTTGCCTAAGGTCTCTTCCTCAAGTGTTTAGTATCCTATATTCGGCAGCTAAAGCGGCGTCTGCTACATCAGACACGAGGTGTTGATGGGGGTAAACGGACAGGTTAGTGATGCGTTAGTGGTGTGTAAGTGTTGCAATCTGTGCGTGGTGGTTGTTCTCAAGACGTCTCGTGGCCAGCAAAATGGATCGTCGCCTGCATTGCTTTTAAACTCGGTTTCCGGGTCCATCTCACGGTCCTTTTCCCCCTGAGGGGAATGAAATGTTGCCTCTCTGAGCATCAGTACACTGGCTCATATCTCTTCTGTGCGTTTCACCATTTTGGGTATTGGGGGAGAAAATGCGCCACCGTTTCTCGTTCATGCCCACACTCACACTGCATCGATGATGCTGCCTTTATTCTGTATAGCAAGGTGTTCGATCTCGTCATGTCTTTCCTCAGCTGAAATAGCACATTGTTTTCCGTCTATGGTCGGTTGTCATATAGCTGTCCAGTGTGCACACCTGGGAGGCTGCATGTACCTTCTTGATGTGCTACCTACCCGGTACTGTACATTTTAGTTAATATAACACAGTATTATTAATACAGTACTGTACCAGTACGATACTACAGTACAGTATCATACATACCAGGTAACATGTCTGATTTAGAACTGAACTTGGAGCCCTTGGCATTTCTCTGAATCAAATTAATGATAATAATAGACTGAGTGTCGTGGAACATTCTTACAACCGACTGGAGTAATCGGTGCATCGGGTGCATCGCGAGTCTTGGGAGGCAGATAGCGGAGCCGAAAACTGGGGCGTACAAGAGCTGGGACCGAGGCCGAGAAACAGTCTACCTTCTGGCCAAGTACTTATGCACTCTGCTTTGGTTTCGTCCACACACGACGCAACAGTACTTCGGTTGAGTCACCTGCGTAATATGCGACATGGGAGTGGAACAAGAGAGCCCGAAGAGCATTGCTGCATAAAGGGTTGGATGTTGTCTTTTCACCCGGCCGAGGAGCATTGTCAGGCCTTGCGGCCCTGGAGACTGTCACGTCCTGCACTGCCGGCTCAATTGCGGCTATGACCGTACACAGTGCTTGACTTCCCACCAGACACGAAGAAACAGTAGCCATTGTGACTGTTCGTCGGACGTCTCGCCCGCTGCTTTCGTAGCATGGTCGCCAACTGTGATGTGCTTACGTGCGGATGTTTATAAAGCTGAGCAAACCAGGTACCTGTAACAAACGAAATGGGGGTCGCGGGTTCCAACTTGCCTTTTTAAGTGGGTGCCTCTTCTGGATGCTGCCTATAGAGCCCAGAAATAGCGGTTTTATGATATATGTACCCCACGAGGTAAAAGAATCTAAAAGCACTAGCAACACCCGTAGCGGTTTCTGCGAACGAGTCCATCGCTTTCTTCATGAGGACGACGTAACGTGTCTCGTCACGCTCCCTCATTCTGAGCATTGAAGCGAAAAATGACCACCGCTTCTCCTCGCTAGGACACCATGTCGCGTCCAATTGATTTGCACGGTGGTGCCCAAGCAGTGGAAGGAGCTCATAAAAGCCGTAGCTCTCGATCACAAGGTTGCTAATCTGTAGCCATGGAGCGCATGCCGGTCGAAGTGCTACAACTCATCCTATCTTGTCTCGACACTCCCGACCTTGCTCGTGTCGCAAAATCTTGCCGCGCGCTCTCTCACCAGGCCGAGCCGCTTCTCTATCAGAATCTGGATATCCGCCTCCATTCTGGCAACCCCGCTCTGGCGACGGATAAGCACCTGTGTGTGCTGTTAAAAGAACCTCAACTACGAGAACTGATACGCCATGTTGCTGTTGAAAATGAAGAGTCCACATTATGGACTGCTGGCCACACCCATCTGCTCAAGATCATTCTATCTACCTGCATTGATCGTCCTACGCAGATACGATCTTTCTCCTGGAAACCGACCAGGATTCTTACCGACGCCTACTTCCCAAACCTCGCGCATCTAGACTGCGCCAACGTGCGCAGCCAAAGCGAGGTTGGCTGGATCCAGTGGCATGTTGCTCACTGTCTGCACCTAAAATCGCTGTCTGTTGGCTCAGCCCAACTGCTCTCTCCGTCCTTTAGCAGCTCCCTCTTCTCCGCTCTGACCGCCCCGCTTCGTCTCCATACGCTTTCTCTGCGCGCTGTGGATCTCTCGTACATCAATCCCGCAGTCGTTATCAGCCCGTCCATTCGCTCTCTTCATCTGCAATACTGCGCTGGGATGGATGCGTTCTTCTTCGAGGTTGCCAAGCTTGGACTGACCCCCAAGCTGCGGTCTTTTCGTGCTCTGGGCATCATGAGTATGGCCTTGCTACAAGATTTTCTGTTCACGCTTGCAGACACCAGCCACTTGGAAGAGCTGAGCCTTTGTCTTGGCGCGGCCATGCACCCGATATGCCTCCACTGCATAGAACCCCATGCCCCCGCGCTGAGACTGCTCATCCTGGATTTTCGCGCCGCCCTGCAGGATGTAGATTCTGCCATACAGTACTCTGCAGATCAGTTTGAGGATATCTTGGCTCGATTCCCTCGGCTTACGTCTCTCGGGCTTCCGTTGCAGCTGAAGGACCCGTCCTACGATCGTTACAGGAGAGCCGAGTTCAAGGTCCGTAACCTACGATTCCTCTACCGTTCAGAAATGCTGATGAGAGCGCAGAGTCAAGATCTGCACACAAAAGCGCTGAGGACCCTCCACATACGCCGCCGCTGCACTCCATGGAAGCGTTTCGCGCGCGACGCCATCCATGCCGCGGCCCCTTTCCAGCGCAACAGGGGCTTTACCGTTTTCTTGGATCGAGGTCATCGGCTAAAAAAAATAGTTTTTGGCGCACAAGCCTCACCACAGCCAGCGGCGATTGCCACTGTTGAAAGGGAACACTTCTGTACAGAGTTCTAGGTGCCACTCTCACGCTACTGGGGCCTTTTTGGGTGGGCCGTCTCGATACCGGAGCAAGGTTGACGGCCCGCCGAGTTCACTGCGGTTTCGCCAATGCCGTTGCGACCCAGTCTATTGGCATTACGAAAGTCGTAAGAATGACCTTCAACGATATTCTTCGAGGTTTTGTTAAATTTTGTATCCTAGCATAGCAAGAGTACCAATCAATCAAGGAGCACCATGCACATTCAAAACTGACCAAGCCTGTGACGGTACAAGGCACGAACAAGGCCGATGGATGAAGTGATTGTTCACAAGGATAAAAGGAGAATTTTATAAGGAAAGCTCTCGTAAAAAAGTAATTAACACAAAATTCAAAGTGGGGTATTCAATGAGACGCGGTTCCCAGACAAAGTCGCTGTCACGATTCCAGGTAACGGGCCGCGGGCCGATCCTATTTTCACAAGATCGGACGACGACCCTTCGTTGCCTGCTGCGGGGCTTCTGTGGTTGCTGAAGCTCCGCTCTAGTACGGAAACAGAAGCATAGAACGCCCAGGTTTCCGTCGAAGTTGTTTGCCTGCTGATTAGTGCATTGACACTTGTCAGAGATCGCAAGTCTGTATTAATACGTTGATAATAGGAAGTTTTGTAGATTGCGGATTTCAGCCGCCGAGTCCCAATTTTCAAATGCGCATGTTCTGAAACATGCCAGTGTAGCAATATGCCCAAATTGGGATGACTCATCTATTCCAGATCCTTGATGCGATGATGCTGCCAATCCATATCCACAAAACCGGAACGCAACATGTCCTAGCCTAGATATCGAGTACAATACTGCTGCCACTCCGTATCGTCAAAAAGCCGACCCAGCACGTCCTGGCCTTCACTAGAAAACTGTTGCATCCATTCGCTCGATGCCGAGAAGTCCTGCAACGCAAGCCAGTGACTCGTATCGACAGATAAAGCGTTGCTGCCCGGGAGACTTGCCGCTAGAATTGTCTCTTCGTCACAGAGCGTGACCGGTTGCCACGGAACCAGTTCCTCCATGAATGAAGACGAGCCAGGCTCCAACGGTGTGGCATGAGCATCGCTCCTGAGTGGCAACTCATCGACCTGCCAGTCCTGCAGCTCTGCATCGTCTCTAGACGCAGACTGATTCACGTTGGTTGGGTGTTCGATCTGAACGGCGTCCGATTCCCCAAAAGCATGCTTCTCCGACACGTTGTCGTTATGAATCAAGAGAGTCACAACAGAGCCAGTCAGCACCGCCAGCTCATGCGCCTTCTTCAAAATCCCTCGTTTGCGCTTGACAAATGTGACTTTTCTCCGCCTCGGTTCTTTGATTTTCTCGATGACTAGCTTTTTGCGTCCCATCTCCTTCTAAGTCGCAGGCTTCGGCCAGTCTATATATATATGCCCCGGGAGTCCGGGACTGAGGCATATTACGTCATACCAAGGCACCCGCTTATGACTAGAAGAACTTGGAAAAGGCAACTGCTACGTACAGGACAAGCTATGAGGGACACGTGAATATAATTTTAAACCCGGTGGTGTGGCAGGTGTGTACGCCGGTCGCATCATCGGAAGCGAACGTGTACACATGCGGACATGCGGCTTTGAACCAGGAATTGGAGCCTACGCATTGCTTGGCGCCTTCTTCCCCCGGTCCACAACAAAACTGCGGTTGATTGTAAAGAGTGCAATCAGATTTGCAACCTAGAATATTCGACAGCTCTCGACTCGCATCATCCCGCCATACAAGATTACGTACCGGGCAAAGCGTGTTCCCCTCTGCGTTCAAGCCAACATAGGCAGGAATGTCGCACTCGACCGGAAAGCACGCTGGATTCTCGGGGATAATTTTCATGCCGAGAGTGAGAGCATCGACTAGCGCGTGTTAGGTAGATTTTATGCGCACGACTGGACCAAACTGCTTACCCAAACTGATATCGTACGTGATTGCATCTGTTGACGCGTCAAATTCGAACAAAGTGGCGTATGACCCGCTACCCTGCCAGCATGATGACTGGTTTCCACAATCGCCTATAGAGCAATTAGTTCCATCCTCGGCGCAGAGCTGCTTACCCCATAATCTGCCAGACCACGGCAGTGTCAGCGGCACGCGACGTGTGCCGCCCAACTGCAAGGCCGATTTGTCCGTGAGCGGGTCGATCTTGCTCTGCCACGGCGCATTGGCAGTGATGGCAGGCCATACGGGCTGCGGACAATGGTTTACGAATTCCAGGAAGAAGATGTCAGTGAGCATGACGTGTAACGTAGGCAAGACGCCGCGAATTTCTCTTATTTAATTGAGAGAGACAGTCCAAATCCAGACCACGGATCTTGTATATATACTCCGGCGGTCTGAGAGAGATAGGATTAGGAATGGAGATGTATACTATTGTTAGACTCCAGGCCGCCATTCGCACCTTGATGACACAGGCTGGCCCAGATGAGCGAACGTACTTGCGCCGCGCGCTATTGGAGTTGGAGCCATGTGAGGGATTGCAGGCGCTGAGCGAGCTGCTTCGAAACGAGGTTCGAGAGCAGCTACTCTGGGCTGCGCAGTATCAAGCTCATCAAACATGTCCTACTACCTATCAATGTCCGCATTCCGGCAAACTACTATCGCCGCTAAAAGACGACGAAGGCTTATGGGCGCGTTTTGCGTGTGAGGTTTGGGAAGGGGCTCTTACCCTCCGCTATCTGTTGGGGATTTCGGAGCATTCGACATGGATCGAGGTCGCGCAGGTTTCGCGTCATCGAAACCAAAAAGCTGTGGCACCCGAAGCAGGAGGGACTGACTCAGCAACGGAGGACGAGTCAACTGAAGCAGAGCATACGCCAAAAGCAGGCATCTGCTCATCCAGAAGGTCAAGAAGAATAGCTGTTTCTCTCCATGGTGGGGAAATATAGGCGACCGAGCAGGGGGGGGTCTACCAGAGGTGTTGCGTGTTCGCATATGCAGCCCGCTCTTCATGTACTGCTAGATTTGATCTAAATGACTCGGATGATTGTGTCGGTGACTTGCTGCTATCTTCCCTCCAGAGCACCGGTCATTAGTCGCAATATCTCAATTGACAGGCTCCGCGAGAAGTTCTTCTTAAGATGTTTGACTCCAACAAGGATGTTGAAGCCGAATGTACCTAAAGATAATATTAATTTTGCCCGAATTTGGCTGAGAAAGTATCTTCAGGCTGCGATTGGCTTGGCCGTATTAGCCTGCATACGTTTGGAAGCTGCATGACTTTGTTACGGCATTTTTAGGACGATTTCATCTCGCACGTACACTCGCAAGCATCGCACGCATCGGACGGTGAGAGTTCATACCTGCGACTCGGACATGACTGCTCTAACTCGCCTGTTACATGCAGCTGTCTAACCACATCGATATCGACCGAAATTTTTTTAGTAGCTATTCCTTCTCGTAATCGATTAACGCTGTTTATATTGTCTTTTTTTGTAATTCATCCAAATACCCTAAATGGGTACACCTCGTGCGTGAGGCCAATGCGATGGGTACAGATGCATGAAGCTTCTTCTGCCCAACGCATTTTGACATTCGGGATACTCACAGAAAAAAGACGTATCAGTGCACTGAAACTCGGAAAGGAAGCATTTCATTCTTTTTAGGAGAAAAAGGACCGTCAGATGGACCAGATTGGAAACCGAATCTGAAGGCAGAGCAAGCGGCGATCCGCTTTGCACTGGCCACGAGACATCTTGAAAACAAGCACCACGCACGGTTGCAACACTACAGTAACCAACCACCAACCCACCACTAACTCACCGCCCACCGCCCACCTATTGACAACTCGAGCCTGAAGTACAGTAGCAGACGTCGCTTTAGTTGCCGAAAATAGGATACTAAACACTTGAGGAAGTGACCTCAGGCAAGTCCGCTCCAGAAACTCGAGAAAGCGCGACAGTAAAGACTGTAGCTGGAGCAGACATTTCATGTCATGACTCATGGGCTTTTTAAGCAACAGCTTAGCTTCAGATTGGATACAGTACATAGCATAGGCTTATAGTTGCCTCTTGGAATTCTCCACCGGGCGTAATAAACTGAATGAATGAATGAATGAATGAATACTTCATCGCCGTTTTGATAGGCTCTCTATAGTGCTGTCTCATGATGAGCCTTATCCTCGGGCATGGGACTTTGACACGGCTTTCTGTCAGCCGCAGTCTCGCGATTTCATATTTCCTGGCGACTACGGCTATTAGTTTCAGGCTGGTCATCAATTCAACCTCCATCTCAACTTCTTCCATTTTGTGGAATTGAAGTCACGTACATCAGTTCAATCCATTCAATATGTTGTTGAATTGGTGGACTCCATTCCATCGCCGTAGCTTCCACGTTGACCGCTGATTGAAAACCGCCATGTCATATAGTTAGCGAGACTACTGCATGCAAACGCCATCTTGCGCCGCCCCTGTTCCGTTCACTTATTACGTACAGGTAGGCTGATGCTTGTGGAGCGAGCGCGACGCATCAGCGGTGGGTGCGCACCACCTCCCTCTCTCGCCAGAGCGGCACGACTTGCGCGACGCGTGTGATACGTGTTGTCAGATGCCCCTTCATCGAAACTCTCTTGCTCAAGTCGCCGAGCACGATGCCACAACAAAAGCACAAAGCGAAACGTGTCGCTATCCACTTCGGGACAACAGGAATCGGCCGGTATCGCTCGCTATGATGAGTTGACTGAGATGCCCTGCCTTGTCCCGGTAGGCTGGAACGTCACAGAAGATTCACCTCGCACTAGGCTGCCTGCAGCGGTGCTTGTCACGCAATTCGAGCACCGCGTCGATGTCTCCATTGTAGGCTTCGATGATGTCTCGAAACTTCGTGCCAAAAAGGAAATTGAGGGCAAAGTTATCAGCTCCCGGTTTATCGCTGCCCTCAAGCTTGTTCTGGACTCGAATCGATGCAAGAAGGGTCAAGCCCTCAAAGACGCATCATACCTGAAAGAAATGAAGTTAACACCAGGTACCTCTATAGGGTCTACATGGAGACGGTCCTGCAGATTCTCAAGGATGAGGTCGATATAGACAGCATCGAAACCTGGTGTCTTGCTGTGCCAGTCATGTATCCCAAAGCCGACAAACCAAGCGAAGAGATGCAGGACAACATGACACGCGAGATGATTACCACCGTAAGAACCGTGATCAACAAAGATTACAATACCGATGACACTCTAGAGTTCGAGTCAGAATCCGTCGCCGTAATGGCACACCTAGCTGCGCGGCGATCGCAGAGCTACGAGAAGCAAGACCCGGTAAGAACACACCAACCCGTCCATGCGAAAACAGGGTTACTAATTTGTGACAGATATTAGTGTGGGACGCTGGCGGCAGCACTGGGTACGTACGACAGGCTTACATTGCGGATTCCGCTGACAGCCATGTAGGACTTCGCCGCTGCCATGGTGATTGGGGGAGCTCTCGAGTTGATTACTGCTGCGGGTGCGTCATCCGGCACCTACTACATGTGGGAAGAACTGAACAAGGCTTGCGGATCCAACGAAAAAAAGTTCAACCCTGCCAGAAAAGTCATGGAGGCTATGACGGAGGCATGCGATATCACAGACGGGTATCTCAAAAGATACCGTGCGCAGAATTATGCAAGCCTCTTATTGCGCGGCTTCAAGGGAGGCATATGACATGTTGTCCAACTTGCAGCGAAGGGGGTACTCGACGCCGAAGATCATAGTGGTCGGTCGGGCTCCTGGCGCCAACTCAATGATCCAAGCGTTTCTAGTCTCGGAGCTCCAGGGGATACTTCGCAAGGTATTCAGAAGGCAGACTTTACCCGATATTGAGGTTCCAGGAGGCCTAGACGTCGGGTATGTAAGCGTCAACGCGGGGCATGATGAGCGCGCTAATATTCTACAGTACCAGTGTATGCAGAGGCGCTGCTTTGCCATACAACTGCGACCCTGTGTAAGCCTTCACGGAGGCCACGGTGGCTGTTTGCTATCAAGCGGATGGGGGAAGGAGCCTACCAAAGGAACTTCGGGGAAAGGACAATGCCCTCGTCGTCATAAAGAACAGCGGCGTTGACAAGCTGTCGAAGCAGTGGCTGTGCTGCCAGGTGGACGGTGCTCCTAAGAAGTTCGTGGTACACCTCCACGTCATTGTGTCAAAGCGGAAGCCGTATACGTACGACGACGAAACCAACAGTACCTATGCTGTTACCCGAAGGCGGCCGGGCTCACAATGAACGCATTGCTTATCAATCTGGAGGGGCATGCAAAGGACGGGGACCGGATAGAGTACATGATATCCCAGCCCGACCCGCGAAAGCCGACTGCCGTTGCAATCGATGTCAAATGCCCGAACGGCAGAGTGGCAACGCAATGTGAGCTGATCAAAGATCGAGAAAGGTTACAGCTACGACTGGTAAAAGGACGCACCTTCCAAGACCACGACGAGGTTCTTCAGCTGGCGGCTCGCGCAGACGGCCAGGGTGATGCGTACGACGGACCGGACACTGAACCAGAGGAAGGTTCCACCTCGGTCCAACTACCGCTGCACGCAAATAAACGGGGACAAGAAAACGGGGGAAAAGCCTCCCCCCCAGGGCAAGAACCAGAAACGACGCAGACTGCCAGACCGGGCAGATGCCAACGTTGAGCGCAAGCGCAAAGCTTTCTCGGAGCTTTGTGAATGACGATCTTTATGTACTTTGATGTTTTTCTTTGTTTCTCATGCGTTGTACTATACTATGTGGTGGATGGTGTCTGTTCGTAATGTGCGTTATACCGTTCTGCTGCGCCAAGGCTACTGGTACTGTACTGTGCTCGAAAAAATTCTGTACTCTAAAGGTTTTGGGCCTTGAAAAGTGACTGGGGAACAACCCAGAAATGACGTACTACTTGCTTTCCCAGTGACCTTTTCCAGTCCCCTGGGTGTCAACGTCAGCGCTGCCCTCAAATCAAACAAATCAAATCCGGACCTATATTTGTTTGTTTGAAGAATTTTTGAGTCATATTTGTTTGTTTGGAATATTTGATTAAATATATATCAAATGCTGGGCAGATGGACTACATCACAAACGCCGTCGCTCAACCCGCGATGTAAACGGGCGGATCCCAACTTCACAGCCCCGTGCCTGGTCCAGTTCTTGAGGCACTGCAGCGCCTCCAGCGTTGTTGAACTCATCGAAAGCCTCTGCGATGTCAATGATAATTTCGCAAGGCTGAACGATCTTTCGCAGTCTGCAGCCATCGCCGGTATGGCCAAAACATCAAGCGCCAGCTGGCTGAGCACCGGGAACGACCCTTGGTGTGCCATCCACCATCGGACTGGGTCATCCGTCTCCTGAGACTCCAGCCGCATATACCTATCAAGCTCACTGCCCGTTGCTGTCGCCCTGCTCATTCTACTCATGACCCATTGTCTGAAGTCGCTCGCTTCGTGTGGCTTGTCAGGAGCTACCAACATCGTTGCAGGCCCTCCGGTAGATGTCTCGCAGGAACCATGCGGCACCAACGGACGGTACCACTTGTCAATGTATCTCGAGAGCCCCGTCTTGGCGTCTCGTACCCATACAAGCTGCTCTTCCGTTGCCCAGTTTATTTCTAGGTATCTGATACCGAGCCCGGGATGAAGGATAACCGATGCCGCGAACAGCGGAGACTCTCCTAGCTTGATGTAATACTCATTGAGCTTCTGCCACGCATTGATAATACATAGCCTCAGGTAGCGACGATGATCGTCCCCGATGTCTGCCACCGCAGATGCACCTGCCGGCTTGCCTGGCCTCGTGTACGTGCCAGAAATGTGTTCCGGTATCACTCTCTCCTGCGGCCGGTGCGAGGGCAGATCCACCTCACAATCATCGAACATGCCTCTGTCGCCGGAATCGCGCTGAGAAAGGCTCACCAGAATGCTGGCAAATTTTTGGCGATCCAATTTCTCACAGAAGTCATTGGAGTTGAGGAGTTCAACGTACCACATGTGCAAGGCCACCAAATTGCTGGGTTCCGCCTCGCCCACGAATTGCAAACTACGATCATAGCGCTCATGCGAGGGGGAGAGCCTATGGCCTTCGGGATCAATGAGGTATTTCCGAAAGCTATGTTTTTGCATGCTTTTCATCCAGAAAATATCAAGGACTACCACCTGGAGAATCAAAGAAATGTGATTCTTGTCGATTCCGTGGTGAATAGTGGTAAAAGTATCATGGATTTCCTACATCATGTCACTCGGCTTAAACAAGATCTCTCAAACATTATAGTTGTGGCAGGAGTGGTTCAGGAGGAAGCAGTAGCTGATGGTCATGCGTTACGAGCAATGATGGAACAACATCGGGTCAGACTGGTAGCCCTGCGAGTCTCAAGCAACAAGTTTACAGGAACCAAAACTACTGATACTGGTAATCGGCTCTTTAACACTACTCATCTGGCCTAATGATGTTGTTGGTCTATGTCTAGCCTGCTACATTCATTCATTGTTTATTACGCCCGGTGGCTTCCAGCCAATAGGGCTCACTAGCTATGCTTAAGTACACTTCTGGCTGTCCCTCATTTCCTCATCCTTGTTCGTGTTCTCGCTGATCGTCTTGCAGCTGCCTTCCCCACCAACTGTCCGCATCTAGTTTTGTTTATTGTAGATGACTAGCTAGCTTGAGGGCAATTCCCCAAGTGTTCGGAGTCCTATTTTCAGCGACCGAAGCGTCACAAGCCATGTCTGTCGATGCTGACCGCTGTGTAACGGGAAGTTGATCTACCTTACGTGTAGCAAAAATGTCGAGCCAGGCTGGTTTCCTTTCAGTTGTCAAAGCGTCCTGTCGCAAGTGTAAACCGTATCGTCGCTCGAACTGCACCCACGCGCGGTTGCCATTTCGCTCCGTCCGATGCCGACTTCCCTCCCAACCGGAGGGACAAATCATTCCATCTCGTGCTCGTGCTTGCTCGCAACTCTTTTCGCTGTTCGTTCCATTGCGGGCATTGGAAGAGGAAATGCTCCACCGTTTCCCTCGCGTGCCCGCATGCGCGTTGTTCAGAAGTCACTGCCTTAATGCGGTGGAGATAGCTATTCAGTTTTGCCATGCCTGTTCTCAATTGGGCAAGCGCTGAGCGCTCCCTCCATGACCATTCCTCGTAAATCTCACGTGTGTGGCTCCCAGGAAGAGCGGCATCAATCTTCTTGGAGAACTTTCCTACGTCTTCAGGCAAACACCGTTCACCTTCAATTTTTCTTCGTTCAATGTTCAAAGTTGTGGATTTCATCAGCGGAAACTGAACCTCGGGTGCCGTGCCTTGCTGTGTTGCAGTCTTTGCTTGTATCTTGGCCGCTTGCAACAGTTTGTATTGTCCGATGAATCCCAGCCGATCGCCATTGCCTGCGGCTGCGCAAGAGCGCTGAAGGGTTCGCTCGGTGCTGATGTCTACTGGGCGTGCGTTTGGGTGGCTGAAAATTCTCTCTACAAAGGTGGGTACCAGTGTAGATGTAAGAGGAAGGTTGTTCAGGAACACGATCGCGATTTTTATGTACCCTGCTATCAACCAGGTTGATGTCCAGGGTAGGGGTTGCTTTCGACGGCCTCCCATGTGTGCAGCGGCTGAACAAATACAGAGTCGAATCAAATGTATCAAACGCAAGTCAAATCAAGAATTACATATTTGTTTGTTTGATAAATATTTTGGCATTGGTTTGTTTGATTTGTTTGGCAGTTTGTTTGATGTGATTTGATTTGAGGGCAGCGCTGGTCAACGTCGGATGTTGCCAGCGACACACATAGACATTTCGACCGACTTAACAAAAGGATCAATGGTTCCAGCATGTGCGGGCAACGCCAACATCTATCTCAGTCGAAAAGGCCACGCGCTCGTTCGGTACAGGTGATTCCCAGGCCGTACGGCCCCCTGTTCGGTTGTGCGTATTCAGGATTCTCGCCGAGACGGTGTTGGTAATTTATCGACATCAGCCCGGCGTCACCTTCGGGAGCACTCATACCGTGCCTCATTTCTTCACAATCGTTCTTGCCCGTTCCCGAAGCAGCATGAGCCTGCTGGATTACAAGCCACGAAAATGGCCGATAGACCATTTTTCGCATCTCCTCTAATTTGTTCGCAGCGCATGCTCCGTAGCGGTTCGAGACGCTGGTCAAGCTTCCTTTCTGATGAGTCAATCTCTATCGGCAGAGCCGGCTGCTTCCCGATTTTAGAATATGCTCTGGAAGTCATTGAATGTACTGTCAACGTGGTACAGTAGATGTGAGGTACGGTTCCGCCGTAGATGTGCAAGGCCAGCCCAGTTGATTGGCCTGGTGGTAGCCACGCGAGCCGCATTTTGCGCAAACGACTTTCAAAGTCTAAGGTCCGAAGAATTTCGCCTTCCTGTTTTTATCTATCTTCTTGGACATCTGTGGCTTCTTGCAAGAGAATGGCCACTCCACGTCCCGACTCAGTCTACAAGCTCGCGCGAGGGCATACTTGTGCGTGTAGACTTTCAGGTAAGGCTGGCCGGTCATGTATCTAAATTGAATGCACCAATAGTAGATGCACAATCTGTATATACATAAACTGTTTTTTGTATTTGTGACGAAAGAAGGCTACGCCATGCGATGGGTCAGTAGAGATAAGAATTTCCCCGAAAAATTTGGAGGTTGACCTTAGCCATTCGCTGCTGGGTAGACCGCTGACGTGGCAGTCCGCAAATTTCTGAGAAGGATGTCAGGGACCGCGGTCTCAAACCTGGCAGATATTCATATTACTCGATTCATCCTCTGAAGACCTCTCCTTGATGTTGGATAAACACTCCTGTCTCCTTGAGTATCTCGACAATTCATCTGATGGCTATAAGCCTGCGTCGTTGAACCGTTAGTTCAGAAAGCTTCTTCAGTTCCGCCTTCAATTCGAGCCTGTGACAGCTTTCGTGGGCAACCGCACTCCACTATCTTTGGAATGCGATGGCGAATAGGCTAAGCATTTGGCGCTTGCAGTAGGACACTGTAGGTAGTTTCTCTCCTAATGGCATTTTTGCACCTTCCTTAGCGAGCTGGTCGGCCAGCTCCTTGCAGTTGAAAATGTGATTCTTCAAGTGTACTTCTTCTCTATCTAGAGAGATTAGATAGACCTCTTTATAGGTACAAGCAAGCTGCCTGCAGCTTGCTTTTGTTGCGTTGCAACACTACTGCTACATTGTGATGTTTGATCCCTTGATATTTGCTTTTGGTAGCTTCAGCCTCTGGTATCAGAGCTGCTGACGTCACCTGCCGTTCAGAAACAACTGTTGCCTTCGATTCCGGTGTGACCTAGGCACCATCGCACGCGAATTATGTCAGGGTGCGCATCACCTGTCTTCTGGAACGTACGGAACACCACTTGCGACAACGGTGGCCCCTCGGCCCTATGCCTTCAATGGGCGAGACATTGCCTATGTAGACGGTATTCCCTTCGTTTGGGCGTCGTTGCGCGACTGCAGCTCGGAGGTCCTTCCGGGCGCTTTTGATCTCAAGGTCAACCACTTCACCGTTGTGTATTGAGTCAGCACCGTAATCATCTCCCATACCGCCACATAGTCTCGGAGGAAGGGTGGGCTTACGTCACGGTCGTCGCTGCTGCCCTCGCTGGTAGTGCTGGTTATGCCTTGGACCTGAGTTGCGCCCAAAGGTCGCCAGCCTGCATTGTTGCACAAAAGCAGTGTCGATGGTATTATCGATCGGAGGTACTCATAGGGTCCGTAGCGGTCACAGCGGACCATGGTCCTCTGCTTCGATGCCACGGCAGTGCGTTTTTCTATGGTCCCGTTGTGATTCCTGGCGGCGGAGGAGGGAACTCGAGGGCTGTTCAGAATCGACACACTGTGAGCGCGCTGGCGAGAGCGATGCATTCGTGCGTGGCGCAGCCAGTCCCCAAGTGGTCGTGTATTAGAAACGATATTGATTTCCGTCGAGCTTTACTTTTGTGAACACGTCAACACATCGGCTGCCGAAAAGTGAGCATTGCACCGTGTGAAATAATTGGGTAAGAAGACCATGCTCATCCCACCACGGAATTGAACTAAACTGATCACTGTATTTAGATTTGCACATAGGTATCAACGGACACAGGAGACGCAGCAAAAGAACTACCCTAACCTGAGTAAAATGGCGGTTGATATCTTGTCTATCCCGGCAATGTCTGCCGAGCCTAAACGACTTTTCTCTGCTGCGAAGTTGACGGTGACAGATCGTCATAATCGACTGGGAAGTGATGTAATGGAAACGCTAGAGTGCTTGAAATCGTGTCCAAGAGTACACGACTTCCAGAAATATATGAGCTGTGGTTGCCGAATGATGGCTCATTGACGGGAGTCACGTGTAAAATATTGTCTATATTGTGATACTCGCAATATATTGGGTTCTTGGCAATACAATACTATATGTCTGGGTTCCATATGGGGAAATACAACATGGCCCTTCTGACAATACTGTACACTAATATTGCGAGGGTGTTCATATTGCCCATATCATATCATATGTATTATTAGCAACAGTGAAGGAATTAGACTGTGACCTTGCAGAAGAGTTTGCGAAGCACTTTCAGAGCACAGCACTTGACACCCGTCAGTTGCAAATAGACTCTGTTACGTGAATATGCCAATACCCTTGATTTAGACTATTCTCGGGCTATCTTGGGAAGCGTTCAATCATATTAATGCCTATAAAAGCAGCAAGCGTTTGAGGGAGGATTATCACCCTCACTTATCTACCATGTCTTTTACAATTACAATTCTACATCCCAGCAAAGAAACGTTGAAGTACTCGGAGCGAGTATACAAAACTGATAACTGGAGGGCAACACAGTATTCATGCTCGAGGAAGTTGGACGACAATGGCGGTGGGGTAGATACACTGACGCCGAAATATAAGGGTACAAGGAGCTTGCAAAAGACAGCGGTAGCTTATCTTTTGAGCTTCAATTTCGAAATCACGTCCAAACCGTATCAGGACATCATTTTCAGACCACCGGAAGATACGACAACCCAACTCCAGCATGCGGTGACTTTTCCAAGAATCGTTCAACATTTAGGCGCAGTCTTCAAAGATCCCCTCGCGATTCTGCGCTTCCTAGCGAAAGAAGGCGGTTTCTTGGGTGGTTCCGAAGCCTTACAAGTATTTGTTTCCGGTGCTACGGATGAAAACTCGGACATGGACTTCTATATAGATAGGGCTTCAGTGGTCGAAATGATGCTTCTCTTAGCCAAGAGTGGGGTGTTTTGGCTGGAGTCAGCTGCTGACGAAGTTGATGAGGCTCTGAAATCTGGATACTGCTACATATCGAATCAACTCCTTCGATATATAGCCCTGAATGAGGAAAAAGGCGAGCACAGTATCTTGCAGCGCAACCTATACCACTTCTTCAAGGCGGCCAGGTCTCAGGGAATGATCGATGAGCAAGCAGAGCTTGCGGCAGCGAAGTACGTCGCGACGGACGGAACGACGCACTACATCATAGAAAGCTGCATTCTGCAAATAAGCGAGAGAAAGATTGAAATCGAAGAAGCCATCAAGGGAACAAAAACACCATCACACGTCGGCAAAGATGAGACCTGTCCCGATCGCTTGCCCAGCCCCCTCAGTGAGACATCTGAGGATGACAGCACTAACATGGGCTACGGTGGCGGCATGTTGGTAGTGAACGGTACGATCCAAACGCAGAACGGGACCATCAAAAGGGTCCAACTGATAACCAATCGCTACTATGGCAATAAGTCGAGCGTATTTGAGATACTGATGAGGTTCTGGGGAAGCCATATCCAATGTTTTATCGGTGGGTGGTGCGCGGGACACACGCTCTATCGGTCTGCCAAGAGCAGAAAGATGCACCTCTGGCGGCTCCAAGCCCAGAACCCTCAGTCAGTAGGCAAAGCCATGAAAAAATATCGACAGAGAGGCTTTGTCGATGCGCAGGAAAGCCATCCCCATTGGCGAAATCTATTTGACGAACACTCGTACTTCATCGACTTCAGTCACGAAGTTCTCAAAGTTCAAGCCAACCAAAACTGGTGGCTCAATGAACTGTATTTTCGAAGGCTATACAATATGACCGTGAATGAGATTATAGATCGAGAAAGCGAGGCCGAAGCCAGCGACAATGACGAACTATGGCTGACAAACCGACGCGCCAATCTCGTCAGTATACAGTGGCAGAACGTGAGAGGGTGCACCCATTACCCGAGAAGCACTTTGTTTGCAGAAGGTTTGTTTAGATGGGCTTGGTAGATCGATGGTTCGGCCGTCGGAGTCTTGTTTATCGCGCTTTGAACTGTCACTCCATCTCATCAGAATCTCCAGACCGTCTCCATCCCATCACGCAACCACCCGTTCAGGTCTTTTACAATGCCTCATCGTGCACAGTGTGTAAGATAGTGTGATATGGCCATATATGGTGATGTTTTCGATAGTCATATCATATGGCATGGCCAAGTTCCATGTCATATCATACGAGGTTCAATATAATATGGGCAATATATGATGTAGTATATGGTCATATTAGCCACGTGATCATGTGTGCCTGCGAAAACTGATTGTGGCCGCACAATTGTACTACACGGTATGTCCTGGTAGCTGCGTCTTCTCCATCCACCGCAACGTGCGCAGGGCTATCGACAAAATCGACCAGTTCCCACAGTCCTCTTTGCCGGCGGGTGACGCTTTCCGCTTCAGACAAATCCTCTAAAGGTATCTGCCACTCTGGCAAGGCTTTGTTGTGGAAAAAAAAAATGGAAAAAAGATCAGTAAGGACTGCGACATCATGCTTTAGATTTGGATGCCTAGCCGCGTGCTAGCGAACAGTGCAGCCTTGTCCTCGATTTTCAGTCGTCGCGCGCTGCCTATTAACTTTAGCCTTTGTGGTACGGTCGCACGTTAGCTACCGGTAGCTCTATAGCACGTCTAAAAGCCTACTCCAGGACGCAGTAAAGACGTTAATACACACATACACACACACACACACATACACACACAAGCTCGGCGAGGAAAGGCGTGGTGGGAGTTGGTGGAGTCATCCACCAGCCGAGGGAGGAAGTCTTCTCTTTCACGCTCGGTCCGAGGTCAGAACAGAATCTGTTCTCCGTCGAGTTGGTGGCCATAGCCTATATGTTACATAAACTGCCCGACAGCAAGCGACAAAGTTTAGCGCTTTTTTCGCGCAGGGGAGTGCTAGCAGTGCTAAGCCGGCCCCACCAACAATCAGGACAAGAGTTTAGATTTTATCAAATGCATCTACGACTCGGTAGAGGAGCTATCCAGCAAAGCGAACACTGTATCGGTAGGATGGGACTCGCCGAATACCAACAAGATGCTGCAAACGGCCAAAAGACAAGCAAAGACGGCCAAAAGACAAGCAAAGACGGCCAAAAGACAGGCCAAAAGACAAGCAAAGAAAAGACAAGCAAAGACGGCCAAAAGACAAGCAAAGACGGCCAAAAGACAAGCAAAGACGGCCAAAAGACAAGCAAAGACGGCCAAAAGACAAGCAAAGACGGCCACGCAGCACGGCGTGGTACCCGAAGCTCCGTTCCCAGTAGACCAAAACCTTGAACAACGAACGAATGAAACTCAGAGGTGCACGATGTATGCAGTACAGTACCCGAAGGGGTAGGACGATTCCCCAAGAAAATAGATGTGGCGCTGCTCGGTAGCCAAACGCGGGAGATCTATGACGAATGGTCATGGAGGGAGCGTTCTACACTCGCGCAATGACAGACATGGCAAGATTGAACGGATACAGTATCTCCATCGTATCAAAGCAGTGCCCTCGGAGAAATGTACGTGCGGGCAGGCAAGAGAAACGGTCAAACATTTTCTTTTAGAGTGCCCGCAATGGGATGAACAGCGAAAAGAGTTACGAGCATGCATGAGCACGAGATGGGATGACTTGTCACACCGACTAGGAGGAAAGTCGGCATCAGACGGACCGAAATGGAAACCAAGCATGGGGGCCATCCGAGCAACGACACAATTTACACTCACCATAGGAAGGTTCGAACTAACAAGCAAAGAACTAGAATAGGCTTTTCCATCATACAATGCGGCCACATCCATGACAGACATGAGTAGCGACGCTTCGGTCGCTGCAGATCGGACTCCGAACACTTGGGGAATAGCTCTCAAGCTAGTCAGTCATCAGTGAATAAACACGGAACGCGAGCTGCCGGGATGGAAGCGATCAGAAAACGAAAGGAATAAGTGGAATGGATGAGTGCGAATACCGGTAGTCAAACATTTACCTAGGCATAGCTAGTGAGCCTTTTTGGCTGGAAGTCACCGGGCGTAGTAAATCAATGAAAATGGTTCTTATGTACTGTAGCCAAAAGTGTGACACTCGTTTCGCCGTATGTATTGTTACATAGCAACAATGCCCGAAACCAGTGCTGCCCTAAGGAACTACGGCCTGTCGACTAGCATGGAATTAGGCCAGTCAACACAACATACCCTGACAGGATGCTCAGACTACGATTGCGTAAAGCTCGGGGATGAAGGGGTAATATTACACGTCAGTTAAATGATGTGAAACTGGTGGCGCTAATGAAAAGGTAGTGGATGTGACATTGATTGAGATTGACGACCAGATATGTGGACGGAGAGGAAAGTATAAAGTCTGTCGTCCAGCGCGTTCCTTTGAGTCCTTGGAAGCTCCCCCAATGCCCTTTCTTTTCGCCTCGCCCTCAACTCATCAGCTAGCCTCGTCAAAACCCACCAGGTGCATTTCGGCCAGGAAGTCGACCGAATTTTGCACAGGCTCTACAAATTGATTTTCTATTTGGCCAGAAACATCAACAGTTGGAAATAGTCTTGAAGAAGCTCCTTTGTGACGTCGCCAGTATCCTGGCTTCTGTCGCAGTTCACCTCAACCGATAATTTCGGAGCTTGATCCCTTCCTTGGCCAACTTTCAGTCCGGAATGAGCTCCCCGATTGACTTGATCAATCAACCTGTGAAGCCCAAAAGACGCGATGGGCGGACAGCTTCGTGCACCAGAAAACGCGCTCGATCGAAGCATTTCTTTCGAAATCCCAGTTCGAAATCATTTCGGCTCTATTCCAAGCCATTCGAGACGCAAAATCCAAATCAGATGTCGATTTGGAAGCCAAAATTGGTGTCCTCGTACAGAATATAAGCAGGATCAAAGAGAGCCCCAGGCTCACGACAATCTTCAAGCCATCTATAAAAGGCCGCCAGAACTAGCTATGAGTACAGGTACACACCGAGGGAGACGCGCCCTTTGGATGGGCAGAAACGTTCGATGTCGTCTTCGGCGGCGCTGCCGTGGTCAGGGACGCTAATGTGGACGACGATGCGGACGATGCGGTGGACGACAGCTCACTGCTCGATGGCACAACCGTGGATGGGGTCGTCGTACGAAAGTACTGGCTCCGCCAACCGTGGGCTTCAAACTACGGTTGCGCTAGGACAATTCTGCCGTATAGAAAATGATGCCGCCGCATTGCTGCTCAGACCGGGGCGCGACTCGTCTTGGACAGCGATGATGCGGCATGGTGACGGCACGCATTGCCAATCTCGCACCGGCCCAGAGATGTCACCGGGAGGAGTGATCATCTGCCCTGGCTTCGCGCAACTGCTGGTATGCCCGAGACGATGGTACGCACCATCTTACTCCGGATCACTCGTAGGTCACATTCCTTTGCCACGCGAACTGTATCGAGCGTTTGCACTGGCCTAATTCTGAGCACCCAAATACTATTCTAGGATTTCCTACGCCAACTATTTCGGGTTCGTCGTCGGCGGGCTGATCAAACCGCGAGTAGTTTGGGCCTCCGTAATTTGGCGTGTATCCAAGAGGCTGTTTTGGCCCGACTAATGGCTACTTGGCACACCAATCCACCTGAAGGCGAGGTGCCAGATCATCGGGGTTTGCATGGGCGACGCCTCGGAGACGACGTGATAAACGGCGCGGGCGATGTACGCACAACATACGGCCTGCTGGTACATCCTTATGTGTCGAACAGAGGGCAAAATAGCGCACTCGCCCCGGGTGTCTACGCTTTTTAGCTGATGAAATTATTATTAGTACATTACCATGTCAGTATGCGTGCTTTCTAGAAGAAATGGGGTTTAGAAAAAAAGTTTTTTTGTCTTTGTACCTTTATTTGGACACTTAAGGCGTTTAACCAAACTTTTTTTTTTGCTCGTCTTGCCATGGTTGTGTCGCATTATGTTTTTTTTTCTCTGTGTTTGTGTGTGTGTGTGTCCGCATCCTATATTCGTTTTGAGAAAGAGTGCGCCTTTACGAACCAGTGTTATACTATAACCATCCAGAATTGATAAGAAAATAATCATTGAGCCTCATACTACTCGCATATATAAAAATTTGCAAAAAGTATACTCAAATACTTTTACAGTGCTTTTTTGTTTCCTTTGCGACCGAACCCGATCGGATCCACCTGTAAACTGCAAAAAAAAAACCCCCAAGTGTATTATAATTCCTTCATTTTTTTGGTCTGCGACAGGAACAGAATTTCCACGGGAATTAGTTGGAAAGTAATACTTTTTCGTCCTAAGTTGTTCAAAATGCACTCTGCAGTGATGAGATATCATGCCTTCAAAGACAAGTCGGTTGGATTGATTAACCGCATCCAGCGAGCAGGGGCGCAAGCTATCGTGGGCACGTTCATGACCGTAGCCACAGCCATTGCCGAAGCCACATCGTGACCGCGCGGGAGCGTTGTTCAAGACGAGCGATCAAGATGTGGATTGATGCACACACACTGCAGGAACAAATCCGCTCAGCAGGGTGACCAAACGGATCAAAAGCTGCAGCCTTCGCAACGGCCGTCGCTACGGTCATGAACGTGCCCACGATAGCTTGCCCCCTGCACGCTGGAGCGGTTAATCGGTCCCATCAACTTGTCTTTGCAGGCATCCATTCGAAGCAAGTTCCACAACTGGCTGCGAACCTTCAGTTCTATGGCCGCTTCGAGGCCCTTTGACGCGGCCCTAGCGATGTGTTGTCTAAATTGAAGCCGGGCGTCCATGACCACGCCAAGGATCTTTGTGTGGTCCTTGGGCTGTACAGGCTGCCCTTTGGTCACGATGGGAGTTGTGCCGACCTTTCGTGCGTTGCGCGTAGAGTGTATGATTGCCGTTTTCTTCGCCTCAAACGTCGCTCCGCTCCGCATTTCCCATTTCGTGGCTTGTTCAACTATCGACTCGATGCCGTCAAGATCGCTTTGCGCTATTGGGCCGGTTACCCAGGCGGTGAAGTCATCAATGAATGCGATTGCTCCTCCGTTCGCATCCATTCGGCATTGCACCAGGCCCGCGTTGAGGAATAGGTATGCGACGGGAGACAAAGGGGAACCCTGCGGTAGGCCTGCTTGCGGCAGATCTTGCACATCGGAGTCATGTCCATTCGGTTGGATCGATCCTGTTCGATCGGAACAAAAGGCTTCAATCTACCCAACGATCTTCTCTGGCATCCCTCCTGCCCGCATCCTTCGAAGCAGTCGGTCCCTGAACACGCCGTTGTATGCACCTTTCATATCAAAGCTGACGAGACTCAACACCCGTCCTCCTCTACAAGCCGCATAAATTAGTTCTTGCAGCAACAGTAGCGCTTGTTCTGCAGACCATTGCTTGCGTCCTCCGAAGTGGTTGGTCGGAGGCAGGCCAAACGTCTCCACCGCATGCGAGATTCTTTCGGCAATGACGGATTCTAATGTCTTGCCCAGCGTGCACAGCAACGATGTCGGTCGCCAGGACCCTGCGACGCTGTAGCTTCTTTGCCGCCTTTCTTGAGCGGCAGTGAGCCCTATTGGATGGAAGCCACCGGTCGTAATAAACAATGAATGAGTGAGCCTGGAGACCGCCGCTGGGAGGTGTGGTGGAGTATCCTGACGGTGTCTGGAGATAGTTTCTGGCAATGGTCGCCGCGCAACCTTCGGCAAACACCGCTGCGCAGAACGGCCTAAAGATATATTGGAAGATGAGCAGAGGGAGGGTTAACAGGCCGTGAAGCATTGTTGTGCTGAAATTCCTCAGGAGATGCGCAAAGATCGTCTTCTTGCCTAGTCGCAGAGATCTCAACCTCAAGGAGCAAGCTTGGGCTTACGCTAGTACTCATGCACAACTCGCTGAGATGCTGCACGCAAGTAAAGAAGACCAAGTTGTAATTGACCTCCAAGATGCGCTGAGGACACACGACAAAGTATCAATGAAGAGATTTGCGGATTATGTAGTCATCATGGTGGTGGTTAAAAGAGCATTGGACGAGAAAGAGGCCCTGAAAGTTCTTCTGAATATGTGGGTGGTTTGCCTGATTCTGGACTGGCGGAGATTGCCACGGAAAACCACACGACATAACCATCAGGGTCGATTGACAGGGAACATCGCGACAGATATCGCTAGGACTTGAGAAGGACGAAAATCTTTAAGGAGATTGCAGCCGGGTGCTCCCTGGAGTAGGTTTTGCCCCGCGCGGCTTTCCTACTTTTTTACTTGAATGCGGGGTTATTTATGGCTTTTAACTATGTCTTGTTTTCTACTACTGTACCTAAGGTACAGTACCGCCATTCGTGCAAATGGAACAATTCGTGATTTAGTCCACATCATACCACATCACACTAAAACACAGTATCTTTAAACGCCTACAGTAAAAACCGAAATGGGTGTCGCGGGTCGCACCTACACAACAATTTTAGTGGGCAGCAGCTAAAAATAGCGTGTACCTGCTAAGTACCTTTTTTGCCCGCTCGTAACAGGGCTTAATGGCCGGTTGCTGCTTAATGCTCTACTAAATATCTACCAAGTCTTTCTTGCTCATAGTCCTGCGTTCTGTAAGGCAGAAAGCTTTTTGGCATGAAGCTGCGCCGGAATCGACTGTCTCGAAACACATTCCTCATCTGTCCGAAGGCGCCTTGGCAAACCAGCAAATTTATGCATCTCAGCCCTACTGTACCCGTATTTGGTGGCACTTGCCCCTGAAATGGTGCCCCTGAAATGGTGGGCGATCTCACCGGCGTTCCTAGATCTTTTCCCCGCGAATGTCTTAGTGTCCACACCGTTCAAAACTGCATGCTTTTTTAATTCGATTTTCGCGATTTTCCTTTTGTTTTTCTATCATTTTGACTGAAACATCATATGCTCACAACATTTTGGTCTGGAGAGTACACTTAGCCATGGAAGCCCGTAGAAGTCGTTGGAAGCTAGTGTAGAGGCCACGTGTCCACATTTGTCGCTGCTCCGCTCGCTCGCCCACGTACGCTACGCCCACCCTGGCGGCGTGCTTCGTTGCCACTTCTTTTACCGTTTGCCACTCGCTGTGCTAGACCAAATGGAAATGGAAGATCCTAATCTTGAGTTTTTGGACGAGTATGACCTTCGAACCCCCGGACGAGACAGAAGTCCTAGCGTAAACACCTCTGCCGAGGAGCCCAACCGAGCCGACACCGGAAAAACGAAGAGAAACCTCCCACTACTACGATTGATTAACTGGGAAGCCGACAGGCTGTACGATAGGCGTAATCCTATCTGTGTCCATTACGATTTTGTATGGAAGGTATCCCTCCGGGACAATATTAGACGCCGACCGATCACCGGAAACGATCAGCCCGATGACCTTGTCCTTGCACCAAGTGATTACTGGAAAGAAACATTCCAGGCACAACTGGAGAGTACTATATCAAATAATGAACGGCTTCCAGGACGAGAATACGCGTGTGATGAAACGATCGTCGTTATATCGGTCGAGAATACACGCGGCCGTGGCCTGAAAGACAAGGTATCAGGTTACAACATCAGATGGAATGCTGTTGATCAGCACATTGAACGCCTTGGCTGGTTGTTTCTGGCCTGCAAGAAGATAACGGTTTCCTTGGAGTTCATCTACCAGGAAGTTATCAGCGAGTCTGCCGCGCCCGCACGTTCTGGGCAGAAAAAAAGAAAAACTCAGAGCGAGGTTCAGAGGGAGAGGATGAAGGCTGAGTCAGGCCTATGGAATCGCGTTTACAAGCGTCATCGCTGTAGAGGCAGATATTGTAAGAAAGGGCCACATTGCGTGGTGGATCGTCACGGAAATCACCACAAGCTGCATTATAAAGATCTCGAGGCCATCAATGACTATTTCAAAGATAATATGAAAGAGGGGGAAGCATTCGCTGATGTTGACGTCGGCGTTGCAATCCCTAGCCACATCCTGGAACAGGTTCTGGGTAGATCTGATGACTCCCCGGGCGATCCTGTCGAAGAGCTCAACAAATACTTCACGTTCCTCCTGGCCGAAGTGCAGAGTGACAGGAGCAGGGCAGAACTAGAGGTTGGAATGAAGTTTGCAAGAGAGCAGTGCTTCGAGTTGAACTCCATGGAGGAGTACCCTCAAATGGTCGTCACTGCCATGGCAAGGGGAAACGTGAAGATTGGCAGCGCCATGCACTTGGTTGGTGGCATAAAGAGATACAAGAAAGCAACAAGCATCATGCGACGAAGAGATTAGTGTGTGAACAGATTGTCAATTTCTTTCTTATGTCAGTCGTTAATTACAATAATTGTAATGCTCTCCCGACAACCAACTACTTGTGCCGCCGTGTGCCATCGTGTGAGAATGAGAATGCGCCGCCCTCGGCTCTCTGCTCCGTGAGGTAAAACATGCCGAGAATGTTAGTACTCCTCCGGATATGTGATGGGAATTCCAGCATGGTGAAACAGCCGCTTAGCCAACTCATCATCATCTCCAACCACCTCGACACACCACTTCAAAAAGAAGCCGAAATCGTACTCCGCGGCCTGATGGTTCTCTCTATATGCCTTCTTGGTGAAGGTCTTGAGGTTGGAAAAATACTCCTCTATTGGATTAAAATCCGGAGAATATGGGGATAGCTCAACATACAGCACACCTGCCTCGTCGCACATTTTCTTGATTTTTGGCGAGCGATGGACTGATGCATTGTCCCTGATTATGACCGAATTTCGTCCAGGAAATGGTTCGCAAAAATGCAGAAGCTCGGTCATGAAGTCTTCGATCAAAAACTTGTCAGTTGGGCCCTGATATACTCGGTACATGAGTACGCCGGTCTGAACCGCCCTAGGCAACAAATTACACGCATATCCATACATACTTTACCTACTGTTGTGAGCATGTCGTAGCTGATGAATTTCTCGAGCTCATAACTGCATCTAACCGCGCTGGGTCGACAACCTCATCAAGCGTCAGAGGCCCGAAACCGTGTCCATAGTAGCAGCGATACTGGATATTTTGTGTTGTAGGGGGAAGTGATTATTTGAGATATGTAGCACTTATAATACAGTAGCTACGCAGTCTTTGCATGTTCTTTTGCATGCGTAGACTTTATGTCTACTGGTCTGATGGAGAGCTCAGCGTGCGATAACTGTATATCTATAGCTGATAACAAGACTTAGACCGCGAATGTGACAACACAACCCGCAAAATCTGCGGAATGTACATCTAGGTTCCCGCAGCCTCCCTCTCCTGACCTTGAGGCTTGCCATTACCGCAAGGGCCTGCGAAGTCCTTGGACAAGGAGAAGAAGTTCGAGGTCGTACGTATAGAAAATGTACTCAAATAGGATTGCCGAAGCTAGATGTTATGTCAGGGAGCAAAAGACTTTACACAATGTCGACTTTAACAGTGAGTGCTACAGGACCAGGATCGATCGGCGCCACGATGTTCAAATCTTCCATACCTTTTACATAGGCATTTTCACCGGCCCCACCGGGAAAGATGGTAGAACATGTGTTTTGTGAGCCACCACAGACACTTAGTCCGGGAATGTCCAGACCGTGTTTAGCGGCAACCAAGCATGAGGCGTCGAAACCGGAGTGCTTCTGGTTCAATTCATTACCAAAGTCGGCCTCTACCCAAGTTGATGCAAATTCACCAAATGGGGTCAAAGGAATAGAGCCAGCATGACAAGCACAGCCGATCTGCGAATTTTCATCAAATGCGACGAGTTGCTGACCACTGGCGGCCAAGCTGAAAGTGATAGCCTCGTTGCCAGCAAAGAAACCATTGATACCGCCATCAGGACCGATCTTATTCCAGCATTTACATTGCTGAACTGTATAACCAGAATTGATGAACTCGATGGTATACTTATATAGAGATGCAATATTTGCTGGAATCTGCATCATATTGCAACCGTAGTGCTCTTCTGTGCCCGTGTTTCCGACGTAGGCAACTTGGGCGGAGGTGGCGCGCTTTTGGCCGCCACAGAATGGGATATACATGCTCGACCTTGCAAGAGGGCCGCGCATAGGAGAGGTGGAGCCATTGGAGGCATCGATGGACTGTTCAACATGGACGGAGCCTTGGCTGGCAAGACTACCAGCTCCGCCAAGCAGCAGAATCAGGGCGCGGGATTTCATTGCAGAATTAGCAGTTTACGTTGTTGATGGTCTCATTCGCATAGCTTATAAACTGAGGCACCTATGCATATTTCCAAGTGCTTCGAGATTGCGATGAATCTATTTGAGACCTTCTCGTTTTTGGCCCAGCATGCTCAGGCCAATGAAAGGCACCAAGGGCAAGGCGGACAAGCCGGCCGTCTGAGCTCGTCAACATGCAAGTCTCTGAATGACCTTCGAGGAGCTACAGTACAACCATTTCGGGCTTCAGTTCCTGCTCTATTAAGACATACGTTTATTAGTCCGTGCCACAGATCCAACACCGCACCAGGAAAAGAAGCTCGGGCAAGTCCGTAACAATTAGTTGTGACTCTGAAATGGCTTTTCCTCTTTTAGCTCAAAGGCTGCTACAGTATGTAGCGTATCTTTGTTCATCCTCTGAATTCAATTTTGACACTCATATACCTCCTGAGCTGGTCAGCGGCTGCTCATAGCCGGCAACAACGCTGGCAAGAACATCGGCAACAATTACGGTAGGTACGTAATGTCACCCTGTCGGAACGGAACGAACGGGTACAGGGTAGTTCAGGTTCAGCGTACACTAATTGGATGAAAGAAAACCGGTTATGTGGGCCGCTAAATTGGGAATTCTCCCCAATCAAGTTGTGGACGTCGGTCAGCGCCTTAAGCAACAAAAGAAACGAGTTTCTTTCTTGTTTCGCGCGAGTCGAGCTCTCGGTCCCGGGGTAGACCCACCGGCTTCAAGACACTAGGCCAGTAGCCATAAAAAGAGGCAGCCCTCCAGATGTTTCAACGCAATTGGCGTTGCGTTGAAATCTTGTCAAGACAAAGAAGACGACATGTATTTTCCGTCCGCAACTTTCCTCTTGGCCGTGTTCATGGCGTCATCGAGCGTTGCATGGGCAAGGACCCCAACCAAGACGCCGAGTGCAGCCGCCGCCAGCGCCACCGCCGCCGCCACGTCGAGCGTGGAAGCGATGCTGATCCATCCAGAGTGCTACACCTCTGGTCCACTACTGAGAGTCGGTGATGGAGGCGGCGGTAGCGAAGATGCGCAGATTCGTCACTTTTGCGCGTCTAACGGGGACAAGGCGCTGGGAGTATCGCAGACGCATGGTCTCCTCGAGAGCAAGCCTGGCGACGGCCGCCTACGCCTACGTATTCACCTCGACGGTGTTCACCGTGGCGACAATACCTCGTCTCCCTGGGCCGGATACTACGTCGGCGGCGCAGGCGACGGCGACGTGCAGGTCGAGTATTGCGTCGCGGCCTTTGCGGCGGTCATTGTCAGCTGCACAGGCCGAAACAATACCGGTGGCTCGGGCGTGGACGCCCGCGACCTGAAGGGCGGGTCGGCCGTGCGCAAGTACTACGTGAACGCGTGGGGTGCTTGAGCCTTGTCCGTACCGTCTGTTCCGTGATTCTGTTTTGCAGACGTGCGCACGCGCCGACGGAGCTTGTGTTTTTCGATGGCCACTGAAGTCACCGGTCAGGCGGGGAAGACGGAGGAAATTATAGAGCATTTGGAAAGGCGTGTTGCCGGTAGTAGACTACACCTGTCACTCGCCCGCCTTGATACTGAGAAGACCTGGCCTGCTGCTATGTTTTCGATACTAGTCAAAGTTTTGATTTGGGGGGAAAGGAATCAGAAAATTTTTACTCTTCAGAAAACGTATTTTTTCAAAGATTGCTCTGTAGAAAAGAACTACATCCCAAAGTGAAGGCCGGGCTAGCTTCTGGGCTTAGTCGCAAACGTTAGACATGCCACAGTCGATTGAATGATGCGAGGGAGAGAACAGGACAAAGAATAAAATGTAGGTATCTGGAACTGCATATTTCTACCCAGATGGTCAGGCAGCAGTTCATGCTATATGCAACAATCAGAGAGCCCAGAGTATCTCTCGCTGGAGGAGTTCAAACCCTTGGCAGAGCGACTACGGCAAGACTCGTGTAGAGAAGCTGTAGGGATGACTATCCGTTAGCAAGAGCGTGAAGTGTGTAGCACGATACAAAGAGCCCCAAGAGCATTCAACAGCAGCGTCTATGCAGCGTCCATGAATGCGTCCTCCCGGACATATGTCGCCGTCCTGGCGCTGGAGGCGAGCCAGCCTCGGAGGGCGGTGACGCTCCACACGAGATGAAGACATACGAGCTGGATCATGAAAAGTGCCTGGCCCTTTCCCACAACAGAGAACATGATGGCTGGTCCAGGCCATGGCAAATTGTAGCAGTGGAAACGGTGCGTCCTTCCGCCCCCGTAGTCCCCTGGTCGTTATGTAGCGTTACTTTTCCACAAACAGCCTTCATTGCCTGCCTTCCTGTGCCGTTCCTCGTGACTGGCTCAGTTTTCTCCACCACAGATACAACACGTCCCACCACATCCCACCACATCCCACCACATCCCACCACACCCCGTCACACCCTGTCACGCCTCGTCATACCACAGCCATCACACACATCACACCATACCCTTCACGCCCCTCTCCTGGGACGTCGAAGGGGCATGCTCCGTGCCGATGAAGAAAGGAATGGCCAGCCTGGTCAGATCCCTGCACATGTATGGTGTAAACACCATCTCCTCTCGATCCTTTGCTGGCCAGGTAGGCGGACGGACCTGAACTGCGATCTGGCTCTTGTTGAAAGAAGGCCTAAGGACCTGTTGTTTAGCGTGATGGCCTGTGAACACCCACTAATAGGCGCCCGTTTCTAGCTGTTACAGCGCACGCTCAATTTGAAAGATAGAGTGAGCGCGATATGCCTGTCTAGTTATCATTTCCGGTACCGTAAATCAACTTTCGATTTTCGGTAGATTGGAGCATCAATCATTGGCAAGCCTTCATAGAAGATCATCCAACCTAGGTAGGACGATAGCTGTGACTACAGTTAGCTCTTTGAGTCTTACCTACGCTCCAGATATGTACGAGCTGGCTGCATGAAATACTAACTGACACGACTTTAATAGGGACATGGATGACGCAAGTCTTTTTGCACTACCCTGCAGGGAAAAGTTGACTCGGAGCGCATCGGTATGCTGGGTATATGCGCATCAGGCGGCTACGCCTCTTATGCTGCGCAATCTGATACTCGCATCAAAGCCCTTGGCACCGTCAGTGCTGCGTATTACGGCACTAAGCGTGGCAACCACCCGAGATCAGACCAACGTGTCCCCTTGTCAAGCTACGACCTAATGATTGGTTACGACTCCTTCAGCTTCCAGCATCTGATCTCCCCTCGACCGCTGCTTATGATCGCTGGTTCGGATGCGGAGACGCTACATTACAGCAAGTCTGCCGTGGAGGGTGCGAAGGAGCCGAAGGGGCTGTTTGTCGTTGATGGAAAGAATCATTTTGAACTTTACGACGATTTGGACAAGTCAGCGCCAAAGTTGGTCGAGTTTTACACGGCGGCGCTCACAAAGTGAAAGCATAGCTACACTTAGCTTAAACAATTAGCAGAACTATACAGAGCTGGCTCAAGTACCATCCCTAGAAAGATGATGCTGACAAGCTGAGGATCGTACAGCAGGTAGCTCAACCTCCGCGGAATTTTACCATTCTCTACGGTTTTTGGCATCGTATTTTCGACCTTGAGATGCCTAAATGCTGGGAGAAATTCAAATTTAACCTGAGAAATCATCAAGTGTGTCGAGAAAAATCTTTTATTATAGCTTCAATCTGACTCTGATCTGCTATATTTAGTGGCGGCGCCATTGTTATTTTTCCTTTTCCTTCTTTTGTTTTTATAAAAAAAAAAACCCGTGGCTATTTCTAAGATGGTAGATCAAAGGGCAAAGACGGCGACTGTGGCAGTCGTACTGTGAGCTGCAGCTTCCGGGTGTCGTTCTTTCGTGACTGTTAGTGATTGTTAGTGCAAGTAGTGGGGAGGTACTGAGCAGTCCACCAGCCAAAAATAGCGCTTGCCCTTCCCCAAATACACCCGCGACACCCATTTCGGGTTTTACTGTATATAATACTAGATAACAAGGACACCGAAATAAGCTGCGACATGTGCATAGCTGTGAGCAACTCAGCACGAAATGACGTGGTGGGAGGTGGCGGAGCGATCGAGGTTACGGCCAACGGCGACGGCGAGGCACGACGCGGCACCTTTTCGCTCACAGTGGGATGGAGCGCCGAACAAAATCCATACTCAGGAGAATTGGCAACATTGGCACACGCATTAACCGGCATGCCTGATGTCAGGCACCGCCGTGTGGCACTTCTAACCACTAACCAGGCAGTCGCCCTTACTCTTCGCACCCCCCGACAACACTCCGGTCAGGAACATGTCCGCTCTATCTACAATAGCATCAAACGGCTATGGAAAAACGGAAATGACATATTGGTAGTTTGGATTCCTAGCTCCAGCCAAGACAAGACCCTACTGTTGGCCAAGCGGGAGGCAAGGCAAGCGACTAAGCAGGGCTCCATTCCCAGTCGCCAGGCCTCTATTATGAAATCCACTACCCTCAACCTCGAGAGAAAGAGAATCGAGACTCAGAGGAGTTTGCCGGATCGGGTAGGCAACCACACCAAGAAGGTGGATGCAGCCCTCCCAGGTGCGCACACTCGACAGCTATATGACAACCGACCATGGACGGAGCGTAGTGCGTTATCGCAGCTGAGGACAGACATGTCAAGACTGAACAACTCGCTGTACAGAATCAAGGCAGTATCGTCAATGCTGTGTGAATGTGGCCGTGAACGGGAAACGGTGGCACATTTCCTCTTCCGATGCCCAAGATGGGAAGCTCACAGAAAAAAAATGTATCAGTGCACTGAAACTCAGAGAGGAAACATTTCATTCTTTTTAGGAGGAAAGGGACTGTCAGATGGACCAGATTGGAAACCGAATATGAAGGCAGTGCAAGCGGCGATCCGCTTTGCACTGGCCACGCGACGTCTTGAGAACAAACACCACGCACAGATTGCAACACTAACCAAGCACTAACCCACGCCTAACCTATAGCCCGCCTGTTCAATCTCGTGCCTGATGCAGCAGACACCGCTTTAGCTGCCGAAAATAGGATACTAAACACTTGGGGAAGAAGTCCTCAGGCAAGTCCGCTCAGAAAATACCGCTCACGAGAAATCGCGACAGTAAAGGCAATAGCTATGAGGAGCAGACATTTCATGTCATGACTCATGGGCTTTTTGAGTAACAGCTTAGCTTCAGACTGGATACATAGCATAGGCTTATAGTTGCCCTCTTGGACTTTTTCACCGGGCGTAATAAACTGAATGAATGAATGAATGAATGAATACTAGATAGTTATTTTCAACCATTTGTGTATGCTTCCCTTTACGTGTTCTACTATTTTCTATTTTATGTGGTGACTTGGGTACCTCTTCTTTGTGCAGGGATTACTACCTTTGTACAAAGACCGTGTACGGATACAAAACTTTCGTCAGACACTTCGTAAGCAAGCAGTGGCTCTCGCAACAACTCCATGACGCGATCCTCCTCCGATCGCAGTAGCCGCGCGTCAATTGGAAGAGCACTGTTTCTTCTCAGTTGGTAGTTTTTGCTGGGAGCGGCTTCCGTCAGCGAAGAGCTGCTTGCGCTGTTCAACGAGTGTGCAAGGGGCGGCTCGCCGGAGTCCAGGGTGGCGAGAAACTGCCAGGTTGGGCAACATTTCCGACAACTCGTGGGGCAATTCAAATGAATCTACGCATCTTGTCAAACATCATCGTAAGTTAGGCACCAGTCGCAGCAGTGATCTTGAGCAGGTTCATCTCCAATTGCCCACACACCCGACGGGTTGGGACATTGTACGTAGACACGAACTTCCTTTCCGAGGTCGAGTTTGTGTGAGCGTTCACACCGGTAGAACTAGAAATGCCGTGGTGCACACGCGCGCCGCGGGCGCGCAAGGTACAAGGTGGCAAAGCCAAAGAGGATTTGGACATGGTCCTGGTAGATAGGGGTGTAAGGGACACGGGGTGTAGAGTCGCGGCGCCGGACATATGATCCAAGCTGCAAGTCGTGACTTCTGTCACAGGGGTGCGGACTCTGGGAGGCGACGTTGGCAGGCGTGCAAGGATGCCACGGGGACGAGACTTGGGACGGTGAAAAGTACTGGTACTGTCCTGCTGGCCTTGCCAGACCTTGGCAAAATGACTGACATGGCTGCCTGGCAGGCAACAGGGGCAGGAGGGCCGGGTTCACCAGCTTCGAGAGCAGATGTGCCTCCCACACACCTCTGTCTCGTCTCAGAAGCGAATTGTAATCGATTGCAGACCCAGCAACGCTGTCATCGAGTGAGGCGGCACCAGCATCATGGTTGTCAAGACGAGCTTGTTCTGCGGGCCACCGGCCGTTGGCGTGCCTGCGTCGTGGCCGACGAGACGTCGGTGCGATCTATTTCGTGTCGGACCAAGAACGGAGAGAAAAGCTAGAAATACTGTCAGTAAGAACATTGAGAACTCTGACTAGTTGACGCATTGTGCATGTGACTCCGAGACGTTCAGGGAGTTGTTTGCCTTGACGTACTTCGGGACTGACCGCTGGACCCACTGCTGTCCTTGCGTTCTACGTGGTGGCGGTGGGTAACACTTGGCTTGCTGCTGTGGCTAGGCTAGTTATCCCTAACGTGGCTGTACGGTGCTCGTTACGAGGTTGCAACACACGTGCAAAAGGGTCAAAAAGGAAGTGAGAAAGCATTGTAAGACGACCGGCGATCTCCCAATCGTCGAACAGACGGGCAAGTTGCAAGGGGCAAGCGCTTTATTCGACGTCTGCAGAGACTGTTGGCGTCCAGCCATCTGCCACCTCTGGAGGCCAACCGTGACAGGCTTCGGCTAGTCCAGAAAACCAGCATTCTCTCCGCTCCTATTCAGCATGTAACTATACTTCTTGGGGTTGTCAAGAATATAAGGCGGTACGTCCGTGTTGTCCGCAATCTGCTCATAGTATTCGCCAGGCCGTTCCCACATGTCTTTTCCGGTCCTTACGTGAGCTCTTATCCAGTCTTGATCCAGGTACTGGGGCGAGTTGTGCTCGGTATGAGAGTACGACTTCATTTTGACTCGAAACTCTTCAATCGTGCCGAAACAGGAAGAGCAGTGCCACGAGGCGTTCCACATGTCGGCTTGATCGGCTGCCTTCAGGCCCTGGCTGGCTCTCAAGTCGTGCGGTAGAACTGTATTCTCTCCTTCGTAGAATGTAGCTTTCGGGCCGTACCATTCCACACCTCTGTGAAGGAACTGAAAGCTGTAGTAGTAGAAACGACTCCGTAATGTGACTTGACGAGGAAACTGGCAATGGCGGAGGACTTCCAGCGTCATGGGCTTGGGTACTTCATCCACATCCGTTACAACGAGCACGTCTTGTTGCTGCGGCTTCTGTTGGCCAGCCAGTTTCTGTAAAGCCTGGTTCAGCAACGCGTTCCGGGTGTAGATTTCTGTTTCCCACGCATCTGCTGCTGTAAAGGTAGAAGGGTATGTAACCTCGTGATACACCATTTTTGCGTGAAATCGACTGAATTTTGGCCAGCTTTCTTTCACAAGGAGACCCTTTTGCAGGCCAGTGAAAGTCCTGCTAGCTTCCACAATGATGAAATAGTCGACCACGGGATAGAGAGTGGCGAGTCGGATCTCTAACCAGTCGATTTCTGTGTTGATCAGGAACATGTCGTAGACCTTTCGAACCGTAGTTGTCTGTCTTGGAAATTCCGGCCACCCATGGTGGTTGCACAGCGCCGTGAAGTTTTGCGTTGTCAATCCACCAATGCTTCGCGCTTGCCGAGAGACCAAGTGCAGGATGGAACACATCAAGCAGATACAGGAGATTGCGAATATGGACATTGATAGCTGCTTTCGACATCTCCGACTGAAGAAGCTCATGTTTACTGTGTGGATGTGAGTGTTTTCGGGAGCAGCGCCAGGTTCCTGCCTTGGCGTACACCGTTTTATAAAGAAAGGGGCGACACCAGATCCTGCAATACAGTGCTGTCGTTTCCGAAATTGTGCCAACTCCGAGGCCGCCTTCCTTGCGGTGATTTGCCGTCGGCAAGTAAGGAAATCCTTGGCCCGAGGTCCGCTCAACCTGCCGTACTCAGGACTCGTCGCGATCAGAGCGGTCAAAATCCCACGTAGTTTCTTGAAAGCCATTCGGTCACATGATAAGCACTCTACAGTACTGCACATCCCGACGTTGGTCAGCAGAATGAGCCGAGATGCTCATGGCAATAGAAGGGATCAGTCACTCCCTGAAGCTGGTAGTTCCGCCGGTGGTGCTGCCTACATACACTACGTCCTTGTGCAGTATTGTATCCAACCCTATATAACACATATTCATCGGAACTATCTCCATAAGTACAAGCGGATTCCTCTGCTAGTTTGTATTGATATTGACCAGCTGGCTTGAAGGCCATTCCCAGGTCTTCAGCGTCCTATCTACGGCTGAAATGGCGCTAGTTTTCTTCTTTTCTATACAGCACTACATTCTGTTTTTGATCGGACACATCCGCATCCTCTGGGAGCTCCATGTTGAGTACGCTAGAGAGACAGCAGCTGTGAGATGGTAGGGGTCTAGTCCAGTCTGCGTCCTTGTGGTCGCCGTGTCGGTAGCATGGCAGATATTTCCACAGCGAGTCTGGAAAGCAGTTAGAAGCAAATTCAATGGAAATTATATTATGACATTACCTTTATGGTAGTGGTCTATCAAGTTCGGCCATCCCCTCCAGACATCACGCTCCGGCCATTGCCCTCTCTCATTTTTCATTCTTCTCTGGCCTTTATTCCAACTCAGTATGGCCTTGAACCGTTCAGTCGTCAGCTACAGACACCAATAGCCTGCCACTGCCGTCAGAAATGTGTCCCTCGTGCCGGCGAGGTCATCATCATCAGCACGATGCGGCCGTAATACCCATGGGATGATCGGTTCTAGGTAATTGAGTAGTACTTGGAAATGAACGAGCTTGTCGCGAGCTGTATTTGCTCCTGATCTGCGGGGGAACACAGGCCTAGCCGCCGACCTCCTTGAGTTGTCACCTGATCAGGCTGCACGGTGCAGGCTGTCAACCTCTTCCCCGCTCCTGAGGCGGGTATATATACCGCACATCTCAGCATCACCTGAGTGTCTCCTATCCACCGTATTGCTCCGTGAAGTGATACAGCGGTATTGCGCTCATGTACCTAGCTTGCCTATTAAACCGGTGTCGTATTGGCAGACAACCTTAGCTCCGAACTGCGGCGCAACTGCTCTATTCCTCCTTGCCTTTACTTTTCAATCCTCGAAGTCAGCACGTCTCCCAACAAACATATCAAGCACTGTACATCATGTGCGAAAAATTGATCGCACCCCGCAAGTACAAGTCGTGCTCCTGCCCCCTTCCCGATTCCATCGTCTGGAACGAAGCATCTTGCCCTCGCTTCCGCCAAACAGGCGTCAGGTGCTCAGGCTCCGACGTAATCGAGAAGCATATGGGTTCGACCACATCAAGGGCTGCGTGCGCGAACCATGGAGATGAAGGATACTCCGCTCAGTGAGAGTGTTTGGACTGAATGTTGGGGTGGGGTTTGTTGGGCGATCTTTCAATGTATACTAACCTATGTATGTATGTATGTGCCTATGTACATATTCACGAAGGTAGTTAGTCCCTAGTTATCCAGCGTGGCCTCAAATGCAACCCAAGAGCAGAGAGTGGGCGCAGCATTCAGGATCGGGGGAATAGAAGTCTTGCCGCTACCCACAGGGAATGGAAAGTAGTCGTCATTTTATGAATACAGCATAGAGGATTTGGAGAAAAGAAAACTTACTATTGCCTACAGTATTACATGGCTGCTTTTCACTAAGCACGTCCCGTACCTAGTGGTGTAATCAACACGATTTCTAAACTGCGTCTCTGCGAAGCTTCTCGATTTTTGCTCTCCGTTTGATCGCTCGTCCTATTCTTCTTGGTCGTTTTTTTGGTAGCGTCGCAAAGCAGGACTTGTATGTTGACTGAATCAACATCACTCGACCTGCACTGCGCCATTTCTTTCACCTTAGAGCACCAGAGGTTCTTCCACCCGCCGCGCCTCCATGCTCAGGTTTCGCCTGCAGACTACTGACGCTGCCGGTAGCATAGCCAGCATCGAGAGTACGTAGCTACACCTCGACAGTGCCTATGACAGATCCCTTCAGGGCTACTGCATCTATGGAGGCAACAGGTAGCGTAAAGGCGCCCACCCTTTGGATAATGTTGAACCTCAAACTTTATTCCCCGGGTGGAAATTTGATCTAATGACACGCAACGAGAAATTGCTGGTGAGTCGCATGAGCTAGCCGAGGAATACTATGAACTACTCTCCGCACTATACCTATTCAAAGCTTGCACCACAGCTTGAGCAGTAGTAAGCCTACCGTGCCAACAGTCATCTATAATACTACCGTATTGGAGGGAGCCCGTCTCGGGAAACTCAGCTGCTTGGAAGCGACGTTCAACCTCAATATCTACTAGATCACTGTAGGGCTCATTGCCAGTCATAATCGAATACAGTACCGATCCAAGAGCGAAAAGGTCGTCAGCCTTGGTAGGTACATAGCCCCTCCTCCAAGGTCCCGCCTGATACCTCGATCCTGGAGCGCCTGTTTCTACAGGACCCCCAGGAAAGATGCTCCCAGCAAAATCGCAGATACGAAGATCCAAGCCGTCATTCAAAAGAAAGTTGCGGGGGGCGACGTCGGCGTGGATAACTTGTTTGTCGTGAAGGCTCGCCAGCGCTCGAGCTGCCTGGATCGCCCACTTTCCACGAGTTTCGAGGTCCACACCGCTCGCGGCGTCATTGTCCCTGAAGTATGTAGCCAGATCGCCGTTGGACTGATGTTCAATGGTCAGAGTGCAGGACTGGGCATCCCAGCCCAGGAATTTGGGGATTGTCGGCATGTCATTCCCGTCGCCACTGCTCAGGCGTTGATAGACCTCGGCTTCGCGAGCCACGGCCTCGCGGTTCATGCGTTCTTCGGCCGGGTTGAGGGGGTTTTGCAGAGGCGTCTTCACAATCGCATCGCCCGAGGGCAGTCGTTCTACCATCGCAGTGGTTCCAAAGCCGATCAAGTCTCCCTTGCGGAGGTAGTGGACCTGCCCAGCATGCTCCTTTGTGGCGGGTATCTGGAATCTGGCATCGGGCAAGTTAGGGTAGCGTTCTCGTTCCCATTCACCGTAAACGGGAATGTACTCGAGAGAGGGAGGCGGGCGGGTTGGATGCCGCTGGTACAGAAGGTACGTTAGTAGGATGCTATTAGCCGCTACGAATAGCTGTTCTGCGGTATGCCAACCTTGATGTCGCCTTGTTGCTCAATATCATCGGTGCTGGAGGCTTTGGGACGAAGCAGGCGCAAGACTAGCAACGATGCGACGTTTGCCCAATGTCCCAGCACAGCAAATATATTCTCAAATATTTGCGTAAAGATGAACATGTCGCATTTGAAATGAAGCGAAGCGTGCCTTTACGTTGGGAAGGGGCAAGGGGGGGAACCCTCGAGTTCAATAAGCAGGTTGTCACGATTCGTGATCGGCGCGTCGTTGTTCCGATACTGGAATTACGGATGTGGTTAATAAGGGGCGAGCCGCGACGCGACTCACTCACTATTAATACCAGGTAAACTACCCTAGACCGGGAAACGGTTCTGCTGACCACACCAACCAGGACGACGCGAAATGACTATTAAAGTCCCCAATTCCAGCGCAGCGTCCCTTGTTTGCCGACTTTTGATTGAGAAACTTTTCCGCTGGTGCATTCTGCAAAGAGACTTCATCTTACACGGCCAGTTGCCTCGTGACGTTGGCAAGCACAAGTATATGTTGTGCTTTCTCAATGGAGCCTTATACCAACAACCAGGGTAGCATCGTGCTGCTAATCGACATACTGGATAGGGCTAGAGGGCCTGGCCATGGGAGGGAATTGAGGCCATGTAAGAAAAGCGTCTGTTCATTTGCAAGCCGTGCATCAATCGCAAGTCTAATCAATAGCCAAGCAGTTCCTACATGCCCGTCCTTAGCCTTACCAACGCACATAGTAGGGCTTCCTCTTGACCTTACGTAGACAGTGGACGTACCATCATTGTAGACAGGCCCGAGGCTGATCAAACCCTCGCGATGTTTAATGATACAGTAGTATGAGGCAGGATAGTGGCGGTAGCGTGATGGTGGTTGGCATGGAGTTCGAGTTCCGCTCGTTCTGTCGCCACGACGGCGCCATCTACCCGCTGCGAATCATGACCCTTTAGTGCAACGGCAACTGTAACGGCGAACATGGGCGCCCGTGTTGTATTGGTGATCGAGCAACAAAAAGTCTGCGAAGCACAGAAAAATCGCCACAACGCTCAATACCAATCAATTGACGGTCATATTATTCTACATGGCTGGTCTATCATCGATTTGGTCCAGGTCGCCGTCTCATCGGCAGTCATGCAGCACATCCTGAGGGGCCGACCCCAGGCTGGGTGCAGCGGATCCGCCTCCAAAGGCCTGTCTGTCTTATGAGCAAATGGTGTCAGGAAACTTCAGACCAGGCAAGACCCTTTGCTCTCAGCAGCCTGTTGAGGCGTATGTTCTCTTCCAAAATGATGTCACTAACTTTGGCGATGTGAAACGTGCCGTAGGGCTCTCAGGCGTCATCACAATCAGCGCGCTTTTGCCGGTCTGGTAAATTGCTCCCCAGACCATTATACAAATACCAGCTTTAACATGAGCATGTTTATTAATATTTTCAGGAAGATATCGCTCCCATGAATGACACCATACCCATTGTCGAAGGTTCGTAGCATAATTCTGAACAGTGCACTCATCCGAAAAGATGACCTACTTCAGGTCAGAGATCCGCCAAAGTTGCCTTGAATGCAGCTTGATAATCTTGCTGATCGTCTGTTGCGAGGTGCCGAAATCCTGTGCAATCGAGCCCTGGCTTCGCCCGGGCGCGTTGACCGCAATCATCGCGGCGCGTGCATCAGAGGAAGGTTCCGACCTCTTCGTCAATTTGCCGATAGAATGGTACCAAAATTTCGCTTTTCCGGCGTGGATTGCATTTTGAAGAATAATTACAAGAGAGTGTGTGTTTGGAAGAGTGATGTGATGGCGGAAGGCGGCGCGCGACGCGTCTCACAACTAAGTTTTTGTGGACTGTACTTAGTAGTATTGGCAGTCAAAAACAGCAGTTCACTCCCCCACCTTACTACTAAAATCACCCGCGACACCCATTTCGATTTTTACGGTACAACACGAGGGTGTGCCCCTCACATGGTGAATAAGTATTGATAGAGCAAAGGAGAAGTTTTGGGCAGCATTGAAGTATCGGTCAACAGGGACAACATTCGCCAATGTTCTGGCCAGATGAGCTTAAGTCCTGATTCAGAAAAAGGGTTGCCAATGAAGCTCATTTTCACAGTACGGGACTGCCCGGGCAGCTCTAGAGGTCTCCTTTCGCTTGACCTCAGCGCAGCAGACGTCCCCACCACCACCATAAGTATGGAGGCTGTCCTCGGTTTTGGGTGGTAGAAAGCGGAGGACAGTGGGCATAATTGCCTTTTGCTATGGCGCACTACCAAATCCCGCGGCACTTACTACGCGATAGTAACAAAAGACCATAGCGGTCGCGGGAATCCTTCTCGAAAACAATACAGTAGCAATCTCAAAATGCTAGTTGCCCTCAGCAAATCTGTTTGTGACACTGGACGGCACGTGCAGCCGAAATGAGAAATTCTGGATTTCATGCAAGCAGCGGCCACGATAGGCCTAAAATCCAGTCTGAAATGTGATCTACTATTGGAAAGTACTACTGTACAATTCGACGTTTGAGTTCATTTTCGAAAGCACAAGGCAATTTTTGGTCACAAAAACAGGTATATTCAAGGTCGCGTAGACCAGGCGCTGGGGTGTCAGATGAGCGAATGGGGCTAAGTGACAGCACCGTCACTATCGCGGAGTCTGTCATTGTAAACACGTGGCTGAGCATCCGCGGGCTCGCATCAAATTTCATAAACTGTCAAGAGAATGATAAACTTCATGTGCTGTATTCATGCCACTATGATCTTGCAGCCCGTGGAGCCTTGGGACCAGCCTATGAGGCGGTTGGCAATGTCGCTGGCGTAGCAGTGCGTGGAGCCGCCCTCCTCGAGCAGGCCGCTTGCGTCGATGGAGCCCGAATTGTACATGCGTGCGGCCTTGTAGTAACGCGAAACGCCACTGCCACCAACTTTGCCCAATATTTGCGCTAGGCCGTCACCGGAAGGGGTACCGGTGACGCCGTCTGCAATCATGCCTTGAATAATATCTCTGGGACAGCGCTCTTTCTTGTAGCAAGAGTGGGTGCCGTCATGCGACTGCATGATTCCAGGGTTACTAACGCTACCGATGGTGGTAGGAGCGCGCACGCAGCATCCTGACTCCTGCAAGGCAACGGCAAGAATAAAGCGCTCGTCCACGCCAGACGACTCGGCGACATTCTTGATAGCAGATTTGACGTCCGCGCTCTCCGAGGCGGAGTTCGTCTGTCCAGCAGGGCATGATTGAAAAATGACTTTTTTCAGATTGGTCGCCCACATAGTATCGAAGCTTACCCACTGCGCAAGCTCTGGCCAGCCAGAGGACGGCTCGCCGTTGCCAAAAAATGTCTTAATATAATCCCCGCTCTCAGCGTCTCCGGAGCCCTGTTCAGGCTGGGAAGAGGTAGAACTGGGAGCAGCCATGTCCGTGCTGGAGGGCGGCTGCGAATTCGTAACGCCTGCATCGACGGGGCCGTTCCCGGAAATGCCGACTGAACTCGCAGAATCAAACGTGGTAGTGGGCACGTCGGAGGGTTGCGACGCGGACAGCGACGACGTCTCTTGGCTATTCCGCGAAGGCGCATTCGGCCCAGGATTTTGCTGAGATGATGGAAGAGCCGATGCCTCGGTATCAGAGTTGGTGGTGAAGATAATACTGCATTCAGTACCAGAACAGACACAGCTGGTGCCCCGCGCAGTATTCATGAAGCTCACAGTGTTGTCAATATCGCAGAGGCCATACTGGCTCTCACCATGGCAAACCAGTTTGCCCGGTTTACAGCCAGGGAGTTGTACGCGTGTGGAAGATGAACAGATGGTACTGAGCTGGCCTAGAAAAACAACAGCAAGGCCCGTCTTCATTGTACAATTCTATGGTGGAAGGCTTGCCTGGTGAAGTCAAGTCGACATCGGCTTGCATGGCCTCCTTTTAAAAGAGGAGCTTGAAGCGGAAATAGAATAGATCTTTCGTTAGAAGGGGTCATGCCAGTCCGCCTGACCGCAACTGTTCATGACTTTTACCACTGCATACGTCGATGCGCTATATCAGGTCAAAAAGGTGAGTTATCGGCGCCTACCGTAAAAATCGAAATCGGTGTCGCAAGTGAACACCTACATAACAAATCTAATGGGGCGAAGCCAAAATTAGATTGTATCTGCTCAGTACCTTCTTGTCTGCTCTTAATAGGACTTACCGTAAAAACCATTATGGGTGTCGCTAGTGCTTTTAGTTAATTTTAGTTGCCTCCCGGGGGAAATCAGAACCGCTCTTTCTGGCTATCTAGGCAGCAGCCAAAAATACCCTCGACTAAAATTACCATGTTAGAAACCCGCGACACCCGTAACTGTTTTTACGGTACAGGAAAGTCTAGGTTCAGCGTCCGTAAATTGATTATACTAAATTTTGATTAGCCCTGATTCCACTGATATGGGCTAACAGCAGCTGCTCCACCTGCCTAATACGGAAATTCTTTTTAAGCAGCGATTTATGGATGCTGAAGCTGAACAGGGCTGGACCGTAAAAACCGTTATGGGTGTCGCTTGTGCTTAGTTAATTTTAGTTACCTGGCGGGTTAAATCTCAGAACCACGATTTTTGGCTCTCTAGGCAGCAACCAAAATACACCCAGCTAAATTTATTATGTTAAACCCGCGACACCCATAACGGTTTTTACGGTAACCACAACGCTAACGCTGAGCTCGTTATGCATCCCAGCCCCGGTGTACCCACATTTGGTGGGAATTACCCCTGGATTTGTGGCTCCTCACAGGCGCCTAGCGGTTTCTATGTATAGGGCTTGTCCAGCTTTTATTCATTCACGGAGACCTCGTCATTAAGCGAATGTTTGGGGACTTCGGAAAGTATAAATTTTTTTTTTTTTTTTTTTTTTTTTGAAGCCGTCTTAGACTTTCCGTTTTGTCAGTACGCCCTTGCCTGCCAGCATATTCATGCATCTCAGCCCTAGGTAGTTATCCATATTTGGTGGAAATAATCGCGCGAAGTCATAGCAATCGCACAGACGTTCCAACATCTTTCCTTCAAGAATCTTTTAGTATGTGTGCAGACCATCTAAACATGCATGTTTTTTGATCGGGCCCCAGTCAATATTTCTTTTCCCTTAGTTTGGGTCGTACACGGTGCTCTTCGTTGCCCCTTCCTAGCCCCTCGCCGTGTAAGATTAGATGGACGAAGAAAACTAGTCGCTCCAGTAGTGTTGTATAATGTCATTCAAAGCATACATATTGATTGAACAGGCCCGTAAGATGACATGATCTATATCTATTCAAAATTTGGGCTCTTTGCAAATGAGTAAACATTGATTCGACATGCCAAGAACATCTCTTCTTTAACCTGACCAAAGGAGCGTGTCGCAGGAGGTGGTACTGCCACTCCGAATGGGTCCGACAGATACATCTCATAATGGATATCAATGATAACAGTCCCGGTTGGGGATATCTTCTGTGACAATGCGGAGAGAACATCGTCGTATTCTGTTCTGTTGATATTCCAAAGAAAGATACTTGGTTAGTCAGTTGAAGTAGTAAGGTGGGGACGGAACGTCCGCTATTTCTGGCTGCTGACCTTCTGGGTGCTTTGGAAGTACCTCACCCCTACCACTGTAACAGACACTAAGAATAACCACTGGAAGTTGCCTGTTTCAACTGGGTCACTCGGTGTCTGCCTTTCAACATCAGTCACGTCCAAAATAGCCTTACTGTACAGTACAGTACACTACTGTCATAGGTTTTCAAGAATGGAAAGGTCATTTGTACAGTCAGTTAAGTAATCCCGTAAGGGGATGCTACGTTTGGCTATCCGCAACAGGCTTTGTGTCTATTGTGGAGTTTTCATTCAGAAATTTGTGTTCAGGTTTTTAAGCAGGACTGACGCCGCAAGAAGTCTTCGTAAACATATTATAAGCATAAGAAAATGCGAGCTACCAGTAACCTGTTCTGCATTGCCATCGGCCTTGTCGCTTCTTCAGTGGCCTGCACGATGGTGACAAAGTCACCGACAACAGTTGGGTATTGGCAACCGCTTGGGGTCAATGGTCCGTGAAGTTGTATATGGTCCAAACGTGCAAACGTTATTCAACTCATCGTGGGATACTGTACCTGGGTCTCTAACGTTAGCCTGATCTCGGAAAGCACATACTCTGTGCCATACGTGACACTCCCGATGGTTGCCTCCTCCGCCTCAATTTCGTGGTCAACCTCTGAACCTCCACCAGCGGTTTAACGACCACAGTGTTTCTTATGTATCCGCAGAATGAACGATCAGAGGGCTTTGGGGAAAAGACATTATCGGGCACTTCTTCCAATGCAATTCCGCCACAGACCGGGATATCCACGGCAGCCTCACCTCTAAGTCTCACGACCAGCACAGCAACAGGAGTAGAACCCGCTTTAAACTCGAACCGAAGTTCAAGTTTAGCACTATACTCACCAAAGACTCTAACGTCCAACGTATCATCAGACCACCCAAGCTCTACTCCAGCTTCTACTCCAGCTTCTACTCCAGCCTCTTCTTCAAGCTCTACTTCTGCAACTTCTACTTTAGCGTCTAGCGTAACAATAATTCCAAAGCCGACCGTAAGTAAGGTTAGTGATGTTTGTGATTTCTGCTCGCTTGAAAGTTCATACAAGTCAGAATTTCTTGCTTTTGCGATGGAACACCAGTCCACGGGACCTTAATGATTTTATACGGAGTAATGATGGCTGTATTGAAAGTAAGCTCAGGGTTAGTTCTCTTCTACAGCACCTCTTTTAGCAATACTGATAGAAAAAGGGGAAATTATTTTTCACACTGCGAGTTTGCGGAGATAAAAAATAAATTCTATTTCTCGGCGAGGTGCTATGACGACCGTCCGCACCATCCCCATCTTCACCGGGGAAAGCCTATAAATTTGGGTAAGTTGGAGGCAGGAAATGGAAATAAATATCTACTGAATTTTCAGGGTCCATTTTGCCTATAGATCCAGACAGAGGGTTTAGCCTGTAGGCGTACTTCCAGATAACTGCAGAACGTCTTTTGTCTGTTCGACCTGAAGTTTTACGCCACACGAATTGGCCCAGATGAGCGAAGGTACTTGTGCCGCGAGCTATCGGAGTTGGAACCATGCGAGGGCCTGCAGGCACTGAACGAGGCGCTTCGAAACGAGGTTCGAGAACAGCTGCTCTGGGCTGCGCAGCATGAAGCTCGTCAAAAGTCAAACATATCCTACCTACCCATGTCCACATTCTGGCAAGATAGTACCACCGCTAAAAGACGACGAAGGCCTATGGTCGTGGTTTACGTGTGAGGTTTGGGAATAGGTTCGTATGCTCCTGTAACGGGCTGAGCCCGGTTGTGGCTCGGCTTGCACTCTCGCCTCGGTGTTGGTCCTGGGCCATGTTCCGTGTTGCTCGTCCTACACCTGGTGAGGTTATGTGCTAGTTCTTCCGAAGTCGGAACTAGGCCGACTGTCAGTTCGTAGTCTTGCTCCTGTCATATTTTGTTGCTCTGGGTAGCAAGCTGCTAGAACTGTAACCTTCCCTGAGATCGATAGGTTCGTCGACTTCCTCTTGCCCGTTAAGGTATACCTCTTCGCCTCTCCATAGCTGAGCGTGTCTGTTGAAATTTCTGACGACCACGTCAACGGCTTGAGCCGCGTCTCACCTGGATTTTGTGATTGTTGCCTGAATGAGGCAGCGTGATTGTAGCCGCCGCCAGATCCGACGACTTTGTCGATGCTTGCTCTACCTCCAGGTCCCTCCTAATCCACAGCATACTCTGTTTCAGGCTTGCTGCTGTTGTGGACAGCAATTGACCGAGGTGGTGCAGGGGAATTCCTGCTGAATCAGTAGGGAATCATTTGCGTCGGTCTTCGTGATGTCCCAGCGCGACAGCTTACAATTACTTCATTTCGCAGCGACACAGAGGCAGGCATACCGCTATTTTCTAGTGAGATCGTTTGCATGGTATTAATAGCAAATGATTTACCGTTTCAGAACGATGTTTCATTTTGCCCCGAGTTGTCAGAGACACCTCAATGGGCAGCTGGCCCGAAAACAGTCCGCAAGGATTACCCTCATCCGGTCTGCTGGATCGCGAGCTGCGTAAAAGGGTTTTCAGTACTGTACTATCCGAGCCGCCGAGTCAAGCATCGTGCACTATCAAATGCCCTTCAACAGTCACGTAAACCGATGATTGAACTACTAATGCAGAAGTGTCTTTGGAGCAGCTGTGGAGATGCATGAATTTATGAACTTCCAAAAGTGGAACGTAGTGACAGAGCTTCGTACAACAGAAGAAGCCTTATGCTTTCCAGCCCCTACATAGTTAAGTACTCCAGTTAGTTATGGGCATTCTAATTTTGGCTAGCTCAGCTATCACATTCGCAGAGCTACAGTACTATATAGATCAGAGCGCAGCAGACTTGCACAAAGGAAACCACAATGAGTAAAACGATCCAAATTAACATCCAGGAATTAGCCCTGCCCGACTGGGTCGAGTCTGCCTTGTCAGCTATTGTCGGGCTCTTCCCCAGCCATGAATCGTGCTGTTCGCTCCGAAAACTCCTCGAAATCCTCACTCGCAATGTTTGGCATTATCTGGCCTTCACACTCAACGAAAAACGCACGACCATGTTTTATGAGGGTCTTGCCCTTCTCCATGAGCACCTACTGGCGGTTTTCACATATATCAATCGAGTCGAAAGTCATCTGCTCACGCCGGATACCCGTTCTCACATGTATACACCACATTGTTACGTCTTTGTTACGCTTGTACTAGCTAACAAGTATATTCATGATTTTTCATTGATCTCTAAACAGTGGTTTTTTTTAATTCCAAAGATTTTACCTCTGAGCTTAGAGGACTTGAAGACAATGGAGCTAGAGATGCTTGGCTGGATGAAATGGAGACTTGCTATTTCAGGAGAGGAGCGAGAGAAATTCAATCGTGTTATTTCTAAGTACTCACCGGTTATCTTTCCAAAACCAAGGCTTCCGCAAGGAACTACGGCCTGGAGACCAGCTGAATAGAGGGAGATCAGTTAATATCCATGTACAGTACCAGAAAGATGTGAAGATACTACAATGCGCAGAGATGAGCGCTGAAAAGGGAACTCCGCGTCAAAGTTAGATGCTGTGAAACCGGTGGCGTCAATGAACAGGTACTGTCGTAGGTGTGTTATAGATCGAGATTAACGGTCAGATACAGGAGCGAAAAAGGAGACCTCGGGGGCGGAGACCGCGGGGTTGGCGCCAGAACCCTTGGGCAGCAGGTCTTGGGATCGCGACTTGGCCGTGGTGGGGTTTTGGGGGATGGCGGGCTGGCAGCGCCAGACAATGACTACGCGCCTGCCAGACCTCCTATGCCCAGTGCAGCTAGTTCAGAGTCATCCTTAGATGGCCACCCTGTGACTCATAACCGGGAAGCTTTCAATTGCACTTTTTGGGCTTAGCCTGTCAGCAGATTCTTGTGGGCAAACTATCATTAGCGTTTCGTGCTCGCTGGCGTTTACAACTTGCCGTGTCTCCGTTCGTCACTTCGAGGCCTTCCCCACAAGCAAGATATATCTCTTCAATATTTGCTGTTTGAGATACGGTCTCACGCTCAATGTAATTAACGCTAAATTATGCCGCGATCAAAGGCAACATCTGTTGCAATACCGCATACGTAGAATTATGCTTATTTGATGTCCCCGCGGCAGCCCAGACATTCAAGAAGCAGCGAACATGAAGGTTGGCAGGCTCCAGGAACGGTGAAGCTACAGACCATTGGGCTTTCTCTCCAACAGAGCTGAGCTATCAACCCTCGGAAATTGCTCGGTATGCGCTCTTCAGCATCATTTTGTAGGCACACTTGATGCATCCACGTGTCACAGAAGTCGCAGCCAATTAGCATGTCATCAGGATTGGCGGGGTTCTGGCACGTGCAGATGAGATTGATTTCCTGGTTGAAGTTAGCCCAGGCGCGTCTCTTGCGGAAGGAGAGAAACTACGCTGAGCTCTGTTGTAATTCAATTGTATGCCTGCCTCCAATACATGGCATTGATAATCTCTTTGCTCTCATTCTCTTTGAAGTGTTCGACATTGACATGCTCGATGACACTCAAAACATCGATGATATCCACTGTATGCGTTAAACATGGCTTTTATAGTAGCCACGTACACATACTGTGATTAGAGGCAATCAATTCATGGATGCCATGGAACCGCTGCCTCCCTGAGCCTTGTGGATTGCCGCCGACGGTGGCCTTGGGTAGCTCCTCCGGTAAGTACATCCAAACGACGCGCGCAAAAACCTCGTCTTTATTAATCGCCCTGATGTCGAGGATTTGCGCAATCTAGCAGTCCCCATTGCCACCTTTGTCGTGGGCAACTTTGACGAAGTCACCCTTCTCGTATTGTATCTTGTGCCCATCAAACGGCCCTTTTGCAAAGGTTAGCGCTCACTGCTTTTCATGTTGGCGAAACACCGACCCACATGTAAAACTTTGATCCGGCTTCAGGCTGGCCCAAGTGTCACGCCCGTATGATTAAACATGATAATAGATGTCCAGATTGTCATGGGTACTGAACTTTCCGCAGGGATCGAAGGAAAAAGTTTCACGGAGAGGCATGTTTTGGTCATAGTCGCGGCGAGTCTTCGCTAGAGAGTTAGCGTCGAGGGCGCTGCTGACTTCAAAGAGGCAGGAACGAGACGTTGCAACGCGCGCCCTCCCAGAGTGAGCGTGAACTTTCCCTCTCGTTGACCCTTGTGCGCTTCAGGCGCGACGTCTGCTTATGGCTACAGGCACAGATGCTACCGTGCTTGCTCCTTGGGCCATCTTTCGCTGGGAAGGACTCGTTTGACAGTAGACTTTATTCTTTTTCTGAGTTTTTGAATGACTTTCGCTCTCTCTGTGTTGTCGTCGTACCCTAATTTCGTTCGCGATGCCGTTATCGTGCGGCGGTTGGCCCGCCTCGGCGGCATGGCTTTGCAATGTTGGCAGTTGAGCCGGACATAAGAATTCAAAGTTGTGTTTCACGTGAGGTCTTTCTGAAGGTATTTTGCTGAAGGAGCAGATCCTTATTGGGGCGCTGTCTCCTGGATAGCGAACAACTCTGTTCTTAAATAGCCAACAAGGTGTGGACCCCACCTGCGCCACGCCGCCTCATCAGTTCATCATAGGCTTCAGCGTTATACAGTACACGCCGTTTTGTTTCAGAACAACAGCCACCGCCCAACCAACTGCACCTTATCCAAAACTAGAAAATTCATTCATTTTGATTTATTACGCCCGGTGACTTCCAGCCTAGGTACATGTTTGGCTGTTCGTATCATCCACTCCACCTATCCCTGCCGTTCTCTGATCGCTCCCGCCTCGTCTTTCAAACCCATCTGCCCACACTCCGCGTTGAGTGTTATTGATGACTAGCTATCTTGTGGGGCTATTCCCCAAGTGTTCAGTTCAGCGTCCTATCTACAGCGGCTGAAGCGGCGCCTGTTATCAGCGACACGAATGCGTGTGCGATTCTGAGGTAAGGCGAGTGGCGGTGTAGTTAGTCGTCGTTCAATCAGCCAGAGTCCAACGCAAATCGGACTGTGGCCCGGACCGCTTTCATGTTGGGTGTCCAGTTTGGTCCATCTGATGGAGTTCTCCCTCCGACATAGAATGAAATGTTGCTTCTCTGTGTTTCGGTGCATTCCGTCATCCCCTTTCGATGTGCCTCCCATTTCGGGCAACATTTGCTTGACGGTACCACTGCAGGTTTGTTTCTCGTCAGAACTAATACGCGCTTGTAACCACTTGGCACATGTAGCGCATATGCCAATGCTCCCAATGCTCCGAAATATGGCTCTGTTCAGCCCTTGGTCCAATTACGAACGAGAATGTCTCCCGTCTTCCATCTGGTTGTGCCGTGAGTGGACATGGCATAACTCCACCCACACCCACTTCATCGTTGCGGGCGGAACTGCTCGTGGCCATTACTACATCTCCTGTCGCAGCATCCTGAGCCATGACACCATCGGTCACGGTCCCGACTCTCTTTCTCCATGGGGCCGGCAATATGGACACGTCTTCCCGTCGGACAGCTCCTTATCGAGACAAGCGCTATGGAAGCTATGCTTGCAGGGCAGCAGTTTAATCTCCTCCCCGACAGCAACCAGGTCTAGACAGATACGGCAATCGAAGCTCTCTTCTGCTCTTGATCTCGAAACAATGGCATATCCTTGCTTTGATACTTGCTCGAGGTCAGAAGTATGAAGATGAAGGACGGAGCGCGCCAGCAGCATTGTATAAATATTGGACCAGCCGTTACTCGCCGAGGCCCAGAGAGCATTGCGAAGGCCAGCCAGGCTCTCGCCCTCGCTGGCACGACTTAGGAAAGGCTCGAGAAGCAGTCGAACAATGTCGATGTGTCCCTCTTTGGAGCTGATTTGGAGCGCCTCGCGTAACCACTTGAGGCTCTGGTCGTCGCTGACACGACTTAGGAAAGGCTCGAGAAGCAGTACAACAATGTCGACATGTCCCTGTACGGAGCTGTTGTAGAGCACATTGCCAAGGTTATCTAGGCTATGGCGGTCGCTGGCACGACTCAGGAAAGGCTCGAGAAGCAGTCGAACAATGTCGATGTGTCCCTCTTCGGAGCTGTAGTAGAGCGACTTGTAAAAGCAATTGAGGCTATGGCGGTCGCTGGCACGACTCAGGAAAGGCTCGAGAAGCAGTCGGACAATGTCGACATGTCCCTGTCCGGAGCTGACATAGAGCGCCCCGCGTAAGCATTCGAGGCTCTGGCTGTCGCTGGCACGACTCAGGAAAGGCTCGAGAAGCAGTCGAACAATGTCGATGTGTCCCTGTCTAGAGCTGACATAGAGCGCCTCGCGTAAGTACTTGACGCTCTGACGGTCGCTGACACGACTCAGGAAAGGCTCGAGAAGCAGTCGAACAATGTCGATGTGTCCCTGTCTAGAGCTGACATAGAGCGCCTCGCGTAAGTACTTGACGCTCTGACGGTCGCTGACACGACTCAGGAAAGGCTCGAGAAGCAGTCGAACAATGTCGATGTGTCCCTGTCTAGAGCTGACATAGAGCGCCTCGCGTAAGTACTTGACGCTCTGACGGTCGCTGACACGACTCAGGAAAGGCTCGAGAAGCAGTCGAACAATGTCGATGTGTCCCTGTCTAGAGCTGACATAGAGCGCCTCGCGTAAGTACTTGACGCTCTGACGGTCGCTGACACGACTCAGGAAAGGCTCGAGAAGCAGTCGAACAATGTCGATGTGTCCCTGTCTAGAGCTGACATAGAGCGCCTCGCGTAAGTACTTGACGCTCTGACGGTCGCTGACACGACTCAGGAAAGGCTCGAGAAGCAGTCGAACAATGTCGATGTGTCCCTGTCTAGAGCTGACATTAAGCCTCTTGCGCATGCATGCCACACTCTCGAAAGTTTCAAGTCGACTCATACTGTAGTGATTGGATAGCGGAGAGAGAAGAGCGCCGGCCTTTTATAAAATAATGCTGAAGTCGAACTGTAGACATTCGAAAGTAAACAGCTAAAAATAGCGACCCGTCCTTGAATCCAAAAAAAGCGACAGTCAGATGGCTTACGCTATTAAGAGCAGTCAGTACACATGACGCTTAGAAATGGATTTTTCCGCGAGCAACTGGCTTGAGCAGAAGATTGTGCGGCTTCTGAATGATCAAAAGTTCCATGCCGTCAGTAGAGCGAAGATAAGCATCCTGCCCGTGTGGAGCTCGCTCACCGGAAGCCCTCCGTTCTTATTTTGAATGTTGCGGTGGGAGGGACGTGGCGAAGTAAAACTCTGTCATTTGAACTTGGTGTGCAAGTATGACTAAACAAGTGTAGCCGGGCTATACAGATGAAAATACTCTAGATGGATATGAGAGCATAATGGAAGTCGTCTATACTACTCACTACGAGGGTTCGGTCTTAGTTGATGGAAACCATTGTCAACAGCAAATATATGGCACTAGTTGATTTGATGATCTCTGTGTTTCATGCCGACCAGGTTCCTTTACATCTTGCACATTACCTTGCTTGAAACACGGAAGTCGGCTGTTTAATTCGCTACTGCTCATTTCATAGCTGTTGGTTGTTTTTTTTGGCGGGGGGGGGGCCGAGGGCCACGCTCGATGGTCATGCAAACCTAGACCATGTTTGGAGCAGCCGCGTTTTGTTCAGCGCCCTCGAAGCACGCCAGCCACCCTGCCACTTTACGCTGCAACCTGGCCGTTCATTGGTCAAACGCTACCTCCACATTCCTCTTCAGGCAATGTTGCTATGAAGGGAAGCCTTGCCCATCTCTTGTAAAACCTGTAAATCCGTCCAACTCTTTCCAGCAAATAGAGCAATGTTGAAAATGAGAATCTGCAGAGTAAGGTATAGTCGGGCTCAGGTTCAGCGTCCACATGAATCCATAGACCGATTTTGTGGTGGCAGCCAAAATCGGCCTAAACATGTCCGACTTTGGTTTTTCTATTTGCCCAGAGTGTTAAGTTCACTTCTTTCAGGTATGATGCGTCTTTGAGGACTGGACCCTTCTTGCATCGATTCTGGTCCAGAAGAAGCTTGAGGGCAGCGATAGATCGGGAGCTGATGACTCTGCCCTCACTTTTCTTTTGGGCGCGAAGTCCCGAGACATCGGCGCGGTACTCGAATTGCGTGACAAGCATCGCTGCAGGCAGCCTAGTGCGAGGTGAATCTTCTGTGACGTTCCAGCCTACGGGGACAAGGCAGGGCATCTCAGTCGACTTATCATAGCGGGCGATACCGGTTCCTGTTGTCCCGAAGTCGATAGCGACACGTTTCGCTTTGTGCTTTTGTTGTGGCATCGTGCTTGGCGACTTGAGCAAGAGAGTTTCGATGAAGGGGCATCTTACAACACGTATCACACGCGTCGCGCAAGTCGTGCCGCTCTGGCGAGAGAGGGAGGTGGGGCGCTCGGTGCGCACCCACCGCTGATGCGTCGCGCTCGCTTCAGAAAGCACCAGCCTAACTGTACGTAAGCGAACGGAACATTCATTCATTGTTTATTACGCCCGGTGGCTTCCAGCCAATAGGCTCACTAGCTAGTCTTACGTACACTTCTGTCTCCCCTCATTTCCTCATCCTTGTTCGTGTTCTTACCCATGTGCGGTGTCCATTTCGGCAATTACCCCCTACCCCCTCAATCAGAAGGACAAATCACTCCATCTCGTGCTCGCGCTTGCTCGCATCTCTTTTCGCTGTTCTCCCATTACAGGCATTGGAAGAGGAAGTGCTCCACCGTTTTCCTCGCCTGTCCGCATGCGCATTGTTCATAGGTCACTGCCTTGATGCGGTGGAGATAACCATTCAGTCTTGCCATGTCTGTTCTTAGTTGGGGAAGCGCTGAGCGCTCCTCTCATGGCCATTTCCTAAGAGCGGCATCCATTTCCTTGGAGAATTTCCCTACTCCTTCAGGCAAACACCGTTCACCTCCAAGTTTTCTACGTCCGATGTTCAAAGTCGTGGATTTCATCAGCGGAAACTGAATCTCAGGTGCCGTGCTTGCTGTGTTGCAGTTTTGGCTTGTATCTTGGCCGCTTGCAACAGTTTGTTCTTGCTCGATGAATCCCAGCCTACAACGATATTGTTTGCCTTGCCAATCAGCTGACCCACCGAGTCGTGAATGCATTTGATGAAATCTTGTCCTGATTGCCGATACGGCCGGTTCAGTGCCCTCGTCGAGTCAGGCCAATGTGATCAGCCGGCTCGACTTTGCCGCTACCGCTGTTCCGACTGCCCCACGTTGTAGCCAGGATAAACGTAAACAAATTGTGCTTTGAGAAGGGTCTCAGATGGACAGATTGGCTGACTCTAGAAAGGGTCCACTATCTGTCTATTTCCGAGCTATACAATGTACAAGCCCGCTTCTTATGCAGAGAGGGCAGAAGCGTACACCAAATCCTATAATAAGCTCTGCACGATGGTTCAGCTCATATAAATGATCTCGTATTTGCCATATCGGTACAATCCGTCGGACAATCTACAATGCGACGACGTGCGAGACTTCAAAAGGGGGTACCACAAACGCGAGACCGCGAGCCTCATGAGCAGATATGGACGAAACAGTTTGCCAAAGCCAAAATCAGCGGCAGCAAAAAGTCAGATTCCGCGCTCACACGGCAGCTCATACAAGCAACGAAATGCGATGGCAGCGATAAAACTCGGCATCACGCTTCTATTCTGTCCTGTCAGGCAGTTTCAGAACAGATGCGTCATCGTGAGGATCCGGACAAACGAAGCGGGCGAGCTCCCACAGTCAACGCTGAGGATGCTTACAAGACACGCTTGCAATTTTGCAGCCATACCACAATGAATCCTGAGCCGAACAACGACGAGGCCGAGGTACTTGTTTTTCAGTTGGAGCTGTGAGAGCTAGCAGGATGGGGAGCCTTTGCCGAGCATAGGAGCAGTCAAGCACTGATACTTTGTGAGTTTGGTATTAATATGCAGCTGAATAATACCGCCCGCACGTACAGATGGACAAGAGTATGCTTCGGCTGTGCGCCAGGGGCGCTGCCCGCGGCACGTCCCCCGTGGACGTCGCCCAGTAACGTACATCTCCCGGGCGCCATCGCGGGGCGGGATCGTTATCTGAATTCTGCCAGTAGTCATATGCTCGTCTCTAAGATCAATAATTTCAACTTCTTTCCAAGTGAATTCCGCGCGGCATACAACTCATCGTATTTTACCTAGTAAAGTGACCTCGTGAAACTGATTGTAAAGCTCAAGCAACCGACAGCTTATGATTGACCCCTACCAAGGAGCATTCTTCGCAGTGATAGAGTCTGACTATCGGCTTCTCGCCCGCTAGCGACTTTTGTGCATGCGCCAGGCGTTCCAAAGCGTTGCCATGATTCGAACAGACTGCAATTTATCTTGCTGGCCCTTCCGAGCAGCATTCGTAGCTTGTAGCCCGTGCCAACTAGAAGTAATGGCGCAGACACTAAGCTAGCGGACCATGCTCAGGAGCTCGGAGATCGACTGGGAACATTTGCGGCAAGACGAGCGGGGAGAATGCAGACGGGGGCATTGCAAATAGCAAAAGGTAGTTCTTTCGCAGCTGCAAACACTGGAAGATTCATGACTTGCCACGTTAGACTTGGAAATCGTTCTGCACACCCAGCTCAAATGCGAAGCCATACAACACATAAATCCTAGTTTATATAACAACATCACCTCCAACGTATTATAGAACAGGCTATCATGGGCTGGGCCTTTTTGGTATCACGGACCCGCTATTT